GCCTGTTCACAGTACTAGTCGGTTTCCTTGCGCTTTTCCTGATGCCGCGAAGCCCCGAAGAATGCTACTTCCTGAGCGTTCGCGAGCGTATGATAGCCTCTGAGCGGCTTCTGGAGGACCATGGGGCAGAAAAGGACGAAAATATTGCACGGGCCCACTTCGAGAGCGCCTTCAAAGATATCAACAATTACTTCTGCGCTCTAGGATTCTTCTTCATCAACATCACAGTGCAAGGAATATCGCTCTTTCTGGTACGGCACCATCACAAATAGGAAGGGACATAAGACGCTGACAGTACCCCGTAGCCTACTATTCTCAAAGACCTGGGATGGACCGCCACGAAGGCGCAACTCTACTCGGTACCTCCCTACGCTTGCGCCTGTCTTATCGCCATCGCCGTCGCGACCGTCTCTAATAAGACAAAGCGGCAGGGGATCTACCTTGCCATCTTTACCCTTCCCGCTATCGCTAGCTTTTGTATTATGCTATAGTTAACTGAGTCCAACGCACGTTATAGGGGTATCTTCTTAATCACAGTTAGATCCTTCCCCAGAGGCCCTGGATTTCTTGCATAGGCAGCAAACAACGCTAGTGGACTAGCGTTCCGCGCCGTATATATAGCGTAGGTAGTAACGCTAGGCACAGCTAGTAGTATTGTTGCAACCTAGTTAGTTAACCTAATGTAATAGCTCCCTTTAGTATTAAGCTAATGCATTGTAGGATATACACCGTCCATAACGCACTAAGATACCCTAAGGGTTATAAGGTTAATCTGTGCGGTCAAATCGGCGTGTGCCTCTTAGCATGCTTTAGCATCGCCTTCTGCAAGTAGGAGAACAAGCAGCGCGACCTAGGCAAGCGCGATCACCGTTTAATCAACCTTACCCCAGCTAAGATTAAGAATCTTAGTAACAGACACCCTAAGTTCCGCTTTATGTACTAGGTACGCATAGTTACGTGTCCAATACAATCACTTTTATATAGTGTTTCCCTTTTGCTGCCTGTCGTTAGTGCAACATTGTAGTTTAGAAGTTAACTTACCTGATTTTTGCTGTGCGCGGAACGCTCGACACAACTAATTCCTTTCTTAGCTAGCTTCCGCAGGTTGTCTGCAACGCTCTAGAATATCGCACGAGGCATTTGATAAACACTGTACTTTACAGCCGCTTTACCTTAGGCAGACCTCTTCTCTTACTACCTCACCTTGCGATTAAAGAAAACAATTAGCAAAACCTTGTCAACTGTTACTACAAGCCATTTCTCACTTAGCCTAGGAAGACTCACAACACAGCATAGTTTTAGTTACTAGCAAGGCAGAGAGCTGCCGTGTCACGAAAGATAATCCTGCTTTGTTCTACTGTCGATGAAGGTTAAACACACCACTAGCACATGCTATATATCCGCTCTTAGACGCTAACGTCCGTCCCTAGGTAATAGGACACCCTGCGTGGCGGGACGCCACTAACACTCCCTAACACAACAAACGCAACAACAGGTTAGTAGAACAGATATTCTTAGAATAGTAGCCTTAAGCTATATAGTCTATTCTCTTGTAGTGTCTTTTAGGAATAGATCTCGCTTACTGCGCAATACGACAATATAGCATAAACGTCACGCGACCGCTACGCTAACGTCTAGACTTGTAGCTATGTAGCCAAGTGGTCGAGTAGCTAAGTAGCTGTGCAACGCTTTTGCTATGCGCTTTAGGACACTAGAAAACCAGCTCGGATTGGGAGCAGGGCTAGGTTTGAAGTCCCCTAGCGTTTAGCTCGCGACAACAAACACACCTAGCATCAGAACCGCAACTAGCTTCTAACACAGCTATTGTGCAACTTTAAGACGCGTGTAACGCACGACTATAGCTAACGCGAAAGTTGCTACGCTACAGAGATAAACCATCGCGCCGCCCTCTAGCTCCGCAGACCCGCCGCTGCTCCCTCGTCCAACCCACCACGTTCTCGAGCTGTTAAGCATGTCGCGACCAATACATATACTAAGCCGTAGCTAAATACTGCTTTAGCTCGTAGAAGGGCACAACAAGTTAAGAAGCGTCTAAGAAGAATGTGTACAGGACTTACACAGCGGGCATAATAGGAGACAGACTAGCGGGCATGCTACAGAATACTAAGATCCAAGTCTAGGCTTTAGCAAGCGGAGCGGGTGCTACTAGAAGATCGCCGTTGCTTAACGCACACACAAAGGTAGAAAGGGTCTACATATCTTAGCAGACATGCTATCAATCAAGTCAATTAATCTAAGGCAGCCGATTGAGCTTGATTAAAGTTTTATAAGGTCGCAATTAAGATTGACTTAATTGAAGCTGTTTTAGAGTCGTAATTAATTAGAGATTAATGCTCTTAATTATGTTTAGTATGCGATCTAGAGCGATCTTATATAGCTACCTCTAGTTATTGTTCTCTTACTCACATATATTGTAGATACTAATTATCTCCTAGTTAGTAAGACTATCTTCCTAGTTATAAGGAGGCTTAAAACCTGCTCTTCTCTAACTCTAGGTACATTAGATAGCCGCTAGCAGCTGAGATCCGATCTTCTGCCTGCAAGGCTCTAATAGGTCGCTAAGCTTGCTGAACAGGCGCTCACATTAACAGCTGCTAGCTAGTATAGTAAGCAGATCGATAGCTAATCGCGATAGATTTGGATATCGCGATCGCAGGCTGATCTAATACTTGATTAGATTGCCCTCCTGCTCAAACTGCTCTTTTGTCTACGGTAGCTTATATCGCCGCTAGCGATCAAGCTTATCTATCTTTGATATATCTACCTCGTTTGCGGGCTCGACGTTAACAAGCGCAGCAATTGCGTCGTTAATACCGCCTGATCGCGGCAGCCTTAGGCGCGTGATTAGCTGCGATATAGGCTTGTATTGTGCCTATAGTTGCTGCAACTCTGCCTCGTTTAAGACAATCTAGTAAGGCTTGTTACGCTAGCTGTTTAAGCAGTAGTTCTTGTAGTATAGGTGAAGGCAAGTTGCGCTATAGTAGGCGGGCGAGGCATTAAGCTTAGTGTAGTAATCGTTAGCCTTGCGCTAGGCAGCATTAAGGTTGATCGCGAGGTAATCTTCTAGAGCCTCAGGATGAGCGTTAAAGTCAACATGATCGTAGGTCCTAAGTATCGCCTCGTAAGCTCTAATTACGTATTTAAATACTAGGATGACATTATATATAGCTCTAAAGCTTCCTTGTTTGCCGCGCGCCTTAAGGCGTTTTGTAGCCTCCTTAAGCGGCTTTAACACCTTAATATACTTAGTTATTACTGCCTAATCTACTGCTTTTAGTCTGTTAGATCGCATCTAGGAGGGCGCGTTAGGCAGCTTGTTATCGCGCGATTGCGCATATGCGTTATCGCGCGCGATGCGATTAATATAAGTGTTAGCGTATAGGTTAAAGGTTTCTAATAACTAAACTGCGCGCTTAAAGGCGTCGTGATAGCTGTTCTATCGCGTGACAATAGGCTTAATTAGCTCTAGTGTTGTTTCTGTGTGCAATTAATCGTTAACTAAGCGCTAAAGCGATGCGAACAGATCGTGTTGCTAAGGCGTTTTGATGTAGTTAATGATATTGACTAGTACTCCTAGCGGGCCGTCTCTTCGCCAGTCTCGCAAGTATCGCGCCTCTATATCTTGCTCGTTACTGCTATCGCTGTTGTACGCCTCCTTGTCGAGTCTAAACATAATTGTCTAGCCTATAAGATTAAGCGTGTGAGGCGCGCAGCGGAGGCAGTGAAAAGGAGCTTTGAAGTCGTATAACTCGCTAAGCTTAGCGACAGCTCGATTGTTTAAGGATGCGTTATTAAGGACAAAGTAGCCTAGCTTAGAACGATTAATACTAAACTGCTGCAGCGTCTTCGCAACTATATTAGCAATCCTATTACTACTATAAGCGCCTGTAAGCTGCGGTAAGGTAATAGGCAGGTCCCTAACGTTACTACAGGCGTTAGCGTAATAAGTAACAATACTAAAGAACCCTCGTTTGCTACCTCTTGTCGTCTACCTGTTAAAGCTAATATAGATTTAACTTATAGATTGCGACAAGTTGTTAACAACCTGCGGCTTAAGGTAGCGATAAAGCCTTATAACAAAGCTCGCGACGCTAGTACAACTTACCTATAAAGCTTCTGCTGCCTCTAGACTAGCGTATGCTATTATCTTACGGAAAGCTAGAGTCTTAAACTTATAGAGAGCGTAGTTGTTATTAACTAACTAGCTAACAGCAGCGTATTGAAAGCCTTGTACATTAAAGTTTCTAATCTTATTAGCGACCTCCTGCGATACAACAACACCGCTATCGCTTAATAATCGCAGGGACGTCTAACCTCGAGGTAGCGCAGCCTTAGCAAGCTAGCCCTAACAGTTAAGGCAGTGGCTAACTCTGTTCTGTGCTATATAAGTTATCGCAGCAGTTGTTAATAGCGTTACCTCTAACGCTTACTTCCCCTCTAATCTCTAATGTTTATAGCAATGCCTGCAGATCTAGAAAGTCCTCTGCGGATCAGCTATTAAGGCGACGCGATAACCGTGCTCAAAGACCCAGCTTTTCCTGCCCTTAAGCGTCCTCAGCGGCTTTATAAAGCGCGATATATAAGCCTAATTAAGGCTATCGTATTTATCCTTAAACTGACTATTAAGCTCGCCTCTATTATAGCTATTAGACGCCTCGGTTAAAGCCTCTGTAGCAGCTCGTGAGCCCTCAGTTAGCGGATCGATCGCGTTGTCGGGCAGCAGGTCGCGCAGCTGCGATTCGAACGGAGCCTTCTCTGTAGCTTAACTAGCTGCAACCTTAAGGGCTTTGCGTGGTGAGGTTCGTACAGGCAGCTCAGACTGCGATTAAGAGTTGTCGTTGACTTTGACGCGTTTATTTGACGCAGCAGCGCGATCAGCAGCGCGTTTAAAGGCCTTCGGAGGCATAACAGATAGTAATAGCGCGTAAGGAGCCTTAGAGATAACAACAATAGGCGCTAATATAAGATATAGGCTGATGTTAAATGTTGATACTACGTCGCAGAGTAAGCTAGTTAGATCAGAAGGTTGCTTACTAATCGAAACTTAACACCACTAATATGTCACCCTATTAATATTATCTACTGCCTAGCAACCTTATTAACTACCTTAGAAATCGCCCTAGTATTAGTACCTGATCAATCTAATCAATCAATTCAATCAAAAAGAGGGCTTCAATTTGTTCTTAATTAGAAAAACGCTATGGGCGAATTGATCTTGACTTGATTGAGCTTTTGATCAAGAATCAATCAAGTCAATCAAAAAACTTGCTTGTTGGCATGTCTGACTGTAAGGCCTCTCGTACCCATTGCCTTCTTGATGCGCGACTGCAACACCCACGGGCTTGTACATCTCAGCCTGAGACTGGTAGGTGAGTCGCGCGTTGAAGTCTTCCATCTTGCGATGGTTGCGATACAATAAGTATGCAGCTGCTGCAACAAGGAATGCGCCAACGCTGATGCCAGCGCCGATGCCAGCCTTCGCGCCTGTCGATAAGCCACCCCTATTGGGGCGGTCCACAGTGATGATCGGGCTGGTGGAAGTAGCCATGGGAGACATTGAAGACGTCGTGCTAACAAAGTTCGGTGCCGGGCTTGGAGTGGCCGTGGTGCTCGAAGTGATGCGTTCATACGTGACAGTCGACGACATGGCAAAGATCGATGCGGGCTGGTCAGTCTCGGAGGTGACGGTTACCGCCGCGCCCGTGATACCACCATCCTCTCCAAATTCATATAGTTTCATTCCACATCCGACGGGAAGGCCCCAGTCTTTGACATCCTGCTCAAGTACCGGTAGTGGAATGGAATACGTTCCATTCTGATCGATGTCGTAAGTGTAACCTGCAACCTCTGTTAGATTGATCACAATCGCTAGAGGTCCTTCGTAGGAAACATACTGTAACCGGGGCCACCACCACCTTCATAGCAATAGAATTGCAGCCTGTTGGCGAAAGTTGACCAATACGACACCTCCACTTAATCATTGATGTTGGCATACACACTGTCTGCTGGGCGCGGGTAATAGAAAGCGCCCGACATTTTGTTGATAACCTGAAGCAACGTACTCAGTACAAGGTAGAGTGCCTGAGTTCCAAGATTGGAGAGGGAAGTGCGGGGAGGCAGGATCAGGTAGGCGAAGAAGACGTGCCTTTGTAGAGCACCTCAACTAACCTATTCCCATGCTGCATGTTTCTTGTTGCATAGCCGAAGGGTTGTTTGCGAGCTGAGTCAACGCCATGCGAATCGCGATGCAGAGTGGCGTAAGGCTGGTAGCACCACATTGCAGGCTGACCCCCGATCAGCACACAGCAATGCGCCCAAGACTAACTCGTTGCGTCTACCGCAAACGAGATCGCATTGAGCGCAATGACACAATCGTTTGTCGTACCATGCACCTTATTGTCGACGACATGCGGGGTGTGTTCGAACGGTGTGGGGATGTTGGTGAGCGTACAGCCTGGTGCGCAAAAGAAACGTCCGAGCGTCGGCAATAGCCTACAAGAGCTGGAACACTTTCGCGCACCTCCAAGCTGCCATGATCCGCACGCATAAGGACAGTAGAAGTTTACTGAGTAGCGAGCTCGAAAGCGTGTCGTTGCCAGGATATTCTTAGTCGTTTGCTGTCCACGAGAGCGCAGACTTCAGGTAGGCTGAGGTTGGGCCTCAAAGCTGAGCTGCAGCCGAGGAGGCGATCACCTCACATGCAATGCGCCGTATGCTTGGCGTCTTCGCTGAATGGTGGTGCGGGTGCGTGGACGGTGAGCGCAGCAGTTCATATGAGCTTCAACCGACGTACACCAACCCTTCTACTCTTCACTTGGTCTGCGATCTCACCATTCATGTGCCCATACACAAAACCTTCACCCACGACCTGCCATGCGTCTTGCGACGCCTCCCTCCTCAAAACGAGTGGGATGCTGCACCCGAATAGAACACCGACAACGTCGCCAGGCCTTGCGCGACACGGTGCCACACCAACATAGCCTTGCTCGGTGACCATCAGTCGGCGTGCTTTCTTCCGTACAGTATCGTGGAAGCGCGAGAGAAAGGTGTCCAGCTTGTCGTTCATTTGGTGCATAGGATGTGATGGTGGCCGATGCAGTGTCGGTGGTGGCGATATAAATCCAATAGGTACCTGTCTCACATGATCCTCCAGAGATGTGCTGCCAAAGATCAGTTGCCTGTTGTGCTCGAACCATGTCGCGAAGCTCCAGTCGACTGGATCGCCATCGATACATGCATGGCAAAGGTAGAGAAAGTCGGTGATATAGTTTACAGGCGCTTGGAAGCACAGGTACTTGTCCTGGCGGTCAATGACCAGAGAGCGTGCTATGGCTTCGAGCCAATCCATGGGTGACATGGTGGTTCTCGGTGCGGTGCGTTGCTCTTGTCGGGGCTGCATCAACTCGTGCCCAGCCTCGCTACAGACGAAGCTTTGGCATCGTAATTCCCGTCCGTCAAGTCCACCAAGCCCGTGAACTGTATCTAACACGGCGCCATTGCAGTACAGGTCTTTCAGGTCGTTGGAGAAGGAAACTGCTGCTTGTTTCCCGAGTCGCGTTCCAGGAGCGTCATATATCGCTTTCCAACGCGTCGATCGTAGCGGTCTGAAGTTCCCAATGTGTTCACAGGCACTTTGGCTTGCCATGAGCGGAACAGGAGAAGCAAAGTCGGTAGTTGTCCTCCAATCCGGAGCCCAGGTAGGTGCTGCGTTTTTGGCATCCAGATCGCTGACCGCTGCGTTGCGACTGAACAAGTGTGTAAAGCAAATGATGTCAAGCGATTTGTGAACGTTCCAAAAGGATCGAACAAGCCTCGCGAACTGATGCGCAATATCGGTAGTGTATTCCGCGGGTCCTATGAGGTCTCGATCTTGTTCAGTGATGAGACCAAGAACAGAGTATATGCGATCTCTACTGTCGGTTGCGGAGTGGTTGCCCAAGTATGCCATGATGGCGATCAGGTTGATGCCGATTGAAGCTGGCTTGGTATGCCATTGATGGATGCGACGTCGGTTGAATGCGCCGTCGAATAGCTTTCGCGGTACAAGCTCATGTTCGAATTCTTGGCTGATGGTGCTGCAAAGGAAAATACTGTAGATCGCACTCTTGAACCTGCCGCGGCTGATGCTCGCCATACCACAGTAGAGCTTCACCTCTTTCGGGAGTACAAATTCTTGCAGAGTCCACACTCTCGTCCACCAAGGCCTGGCTAGCAAGTTGCTGACAGCAGCGCACTTATTGGTGAATTCAGGGTTCTCAAGCTTCTTGCGCATCGCAATATCGTCCCCATTAAACGCGATCTGTAAAGTGGAAAGATAATGCATGAAGTCGATCGCATCGGTGCAGTCGCTGGTATCGTCTTTCTCTTCGCCTAACCACACGATCGCTCTTCTCGCTTTTTTGTAGATTTCCGCCATGATGCGCACTTGCTTCTCACGTTCACGACTGTCACCCAGGTTGATGCAAAGAGAGTCGATCCACCACCAATCTGTGCCTTTAAAGTCGCCATGGTGAGTGACCATCTGTAGGAAGGGTACGAGACTGTCGAGTATAGGGAGCCTTCCAGTCTTCACATTGACTGTCACTCCCGCGTACTTACGCTTACCCCACACATAACTGGCTGTGTAATAGTGAGGTGCACCGGCGATTGGGAACTTCCGCAGCTTGCCAATGAAGATGCCATCTTCAGTCTGAGAGAAGCGGAGGAGGCGGATCGAAGTCTCATCAACGGGATCCGAGAACGCTGAAGCGCTGGCCGATGATGGCGTGCCAAGTTCCATAAGGGTTCATGATGCAGGAGATGTGTGGATGGGTGGGCGTGACGGATGGTGCGCGAAACCTCGGGAGTGGCTCGCATAAGCTAGCCCATAGATAACCTGGCCACCCGGGTAACCTGGCCACCCCACCAAAACGAGACACCTACACAAAACACGCTATATCTCTCAACAACGCTTTTCAATATGGACGCTCGTGAAGTAGCCTTACAATTAGCTATTAGCGATCTCAACACAGGTGTTTATTCTAGCCAGCGAGCTGCAGCTAAGGCGTACGGTATCCCTTGGTCAACTCTCTCGACGCGCCTAAATGGCGTCACTAACAGACGCATCAGCTATTAGCACTAGCAGCGGCTGACCCCTCTACAAGAGGATTTCCTCGTTAACTAGATCCTCGAAGAGGACGCTCGCGGCTACCCCCCTCCACACGCGCGCGCGCGAGAAATAGCAAATCGAATCCTGCGTATAAATGGCGACGCTCAGCCTGTCGGCAAGCTCTGAGTCTCCTACTTTATTAAGCGCCAGCCACGCGTCGCCTTAGTTATCAGCCAGAAGATCGACGCTTAGAGAGTTAAGGCGGCTACGCTAGATTAGCTACGCGCGTTCCTTGAGCACTATGAGCAGACGCGAGAGCGCCTTGGTATACAGGCAGAGAATACATATAATATAGATGAGACAGGGATCGCCCTAGGCGTATGTACGAATACTAGAGTCCTTGCTAGAGCATTAAAGAAGAAGGCTGACGTTAAGTCGCCAGAGAATCGCGAGTAGGTGTTAATAATTGAGTGTGTGTTAGCGATAGGGCGGAAGCTACGCTGCGCGGTCATCTTTAAGGGCTAGAGCCTACAGACAACCTGGTTCCTAGCTAAATCAGTACCTAGCTAGCTCTATACAACGTCTAAGAATGGATGGACCTTAAACGCGATAGGTCTTGAGTGGCTACAGCGTATATTTCTCCCTGAGACAGCGCCAGCAGATGGTCAATGCCAACTCCTAATTCTTGACGGTCATAGCAGCCATATCAGTCTAGACTTCCTCCTGCTCTGCAAACAGCACAAGGTCTACCTCCTCTATCTACCTGCGCACTCCTCACACGTCCTACAGCCTCTAGACCTTGCTCTATTCTCTGTTATTAAGTTAAGTTACTGCTAGCAGATCTAGGACCTAGCCTCGCTTGACAACGCAGCGCCTGTAAAGAAGGAGCGCTTTATTACCTGCTACTATCAAGCTAGAGAGGAAGGCTTTACAGAGCGTGTGATTCGAGCTGGCTGGCGAGCTGCTGGCCTCTGCCCATTTAATATTAATCACGTGCTTAGCTTATCGCAAGTCTCGCAGCAGCTAGCTACACCTCCACGCCTAAAGCGACCTCGATCACCTATCGAGGCCTTCCTCTCTACACCCTAGGGCCCTCGCGATATCTACCTTGCGCAGCAGGACATCCAGAGTCATGAAAATCTCGGTCGCAAGACTCGGCTTCTGCTACAGAAAGCAGGCAAGGCGCTGGCAAGTGCGAATACGAGAGCAGCAGGGCTAGAAGCAGAGAAAAGACGCCTTGAGGCTGAACTAGAGATCGCTCTCCCTCAGGCCCCTCGCAAGCGCGTCCAAGTAGACCCAAATCAACGCTTTGCGGAAGTTGAGGATATCATGGCGGCAATACATAGATCGGCAGCTACAGCAGCCCAGCGAGATAGAGCTACTATAGAGAGGGCTACAGAGAGGGCTGCAGCAGCTACAGCAGCTGCAACTCTTTAATCTATGTGTAGCCAATAGCAATTGTAAAGCGTTGTTAAGAGATATAGCGTGTTTTGTGTAGGTGTCTCGTTTTGGTGGGGTGGCCAGGTTACCTGGGTAGCCAGCTTATCTATGGGCTAGCTTAATTGAAGCCCCACAATCGCTAATTCTTGGCGCCCCCCCCCCCTCTGCGTGGTTGCACTGTGCGAGTGACACCACAACATCGCAACTCCAGTGGAGATGATACAGTCAAGGGAATGCTCCTACTCCAGACTCTGAGCCCCTTCTTCGACCGCTAGCCACGCCCACATGGCAGAACGAAGCCTCCGGGACTGAAAAGCAGCATTCGGCACATCACTGTCAGGCACCAGGCTACCGTGTCCGTGCACCCAACGATCGGAGTCAACCAACGATCAGTGCACAACATCTACACCAAATTTCAACGCGTAATAGCTCAACAACCATGCTAGGGATTAATGATGCGCTTGCAGAGATTCGTAAATTGAAACTAGGCGATAAACTTGTGTATACAAAAATTGCGCTTAAGCACGGTGTTGATCGTAATACTCTATCGCGTGCGCACCGTAGTGTGCAGGTCCCTTAACGCGACGCGAACGACTACTAACATAAGCTCACTCGATAACAGGAGGAGGACCTAGTGCAGTATATAGAACTACTCTCTGCGCGTCGCTTACCACCTACAAGAGTTATAGTACAAAATTTCGCCTCTAAAGTAGCCTAAAATCCTTGCTCTGAGAGCTAGGTTACGCGCTTCCTACACTGTTACCGCGACCGCGTTATACTACAATAGACGACGGGTATAGACTCTAATCGCCACAACGCTAAGTCTAGGTATAAGTACAAGCTGTACTTTGACCTGCTGCAGCAGAAGATCACCGAATACGACATTAAGCCAGCGCACACATACAATATAGATAAGAAGGGCTTTGCAATTAGGCTGCTAGGAAGGAGAAAGCGCATCTTTAGTAGGCGTTAATATAAGAAGAAGGAAGTTAGGCAGGCTCGTTAAGATAGCTCACGTAAGTAGGTGAGCCTATTAGCAGCAGTCTGCGCGGATAGTACAGCTCTACCCCTAGGCATTATTTTTGCGTCAAAGAACTCTACAATCTAGAGTTATTGGGTAGCCGATATTGAGGCAGGAACCCACTTAATTCACGTGGCTTCTTCGCCTACAGGCTAGACGAATAATGATATTAGATTGGCCTAGCTTAAGCAGGTGTTTGACCGTTATACAAAGGCAAAGGCGCGCTAAAGTTATAGGCTTTTAATAGTAGATGGCCACGGGAGTCACCTAACGCAGGATTTTATTAACTACTGCGATTAGAATTGGATTATACTTGCTGTGTTACTACCTTACAGTACACAGACGCTACAGCCGCTGGACGTAGTCTGCTTCAAGCCACTCTCCTCCGCGTACGCCTCCGAGCTAGATAACTACCTCTAGAAGTCTTAAGGCCTATCGCCATTAACGAAAGGTGACTTTGTAAGCTTATTTTGGCCTGCCTAGGTGACTACATTCACCAAACAGCTCGTACAAAACGCCTTCGCTGCCACAGGGATAGCCCTAGTTAACCCTAACGTTATACTCGATAGATTCGGCTACACAACACCTACTAACTCAGGCTCAGTTACCTCTAGTTCCACGGCTTATTCTGCACAGGATTAGCTTAGAGCTTGCACTACACTGCGTGCGGAGGTAAAGGATCCTCGCAGTGTAGGTGCGCGGAAGCTTGGCCAAACTATCCACTACCTATCAACCTAGGTAGAGCTCCTTCACAACGAACTTAATAGCTTGCAGCAGAAGCTATACCTAAAACAAAAGCGCCAGAAGCAACCTAGCAGGCAATTAGACCTGCAACAGCATTAGGAGTACCACGGCAGAGCGATAGTGTAGTCACCTCGAGCTATTCGGGAGGCGCGCGTCCGCATAGCAGTTACTAAGAAGGAGAAGGAGGCTGACGAGCTAAAAAAGGCAGAGATAAAGGAGTTAGCTGCTGCTGACAAGCTATATAAGGAGAAGATTGCAGCAGAGAAGCGTGCGCAGCGTATAAGGGAGAAGGAAGCGCGCGCGCAGGCTAAGGCAGAGGAGCGTCAAGCTATTGATGCCCGGAAAGCTGCTAGAACCACTGCCAAACAGGCTCGTGACTCTACAAAAGCCTTACAATTATCCCAAAGAGGCAAGCCTACAATTTCAAAAGCTTCTGCAGTTAAACCAAAGCCTGGGCGTCGTAGTGTAGGTGCGCGTAGTCACCCAAAGCCTGCGACGCCTCCTCCACCTGCGCGCACCCACACCACCCGCAGCGGCCGCACCGCCACTTTATATAGAGAATTTATATAGAGAATATTGTTTACGTAGGCCTAAAGAATACTCTATCAAAACACCTCGCGATAATAACTATTGTACGTGGCTCTATAGCTTCAATTTTGTAGTAGGCCTCAGGGCTCGGAGCGATCGTTGGTTGACTCCGATCGTTGGGTGCACGGACACGGTACTCCGGGCCCGTTCGGGCCGTTATGCCAAGCAATCGCAGTATATTAGCCTACCTACCGCTGTTGTGGCTCGACAGCGGTTCGTCTCTAGTCTTATAAGGCAATATACCTCTACCTCCACTATCGCGGTGCATCTCGTATCTATAAAGACTCTATTGCTTGACAATCACTCTGCTGCAACGCATCTTTCCTACAACCATGTCTCTCCCTGTCTTGTACTATACAAGAACCTTAACACTTGAACTTTCTCTATTCAGTCCAAGCCGTAGATCCCACAGGCATATTCTAGCTGCGCCACAGGACACATCTGCTAATGTGTCGCTAGCCTCCGTACAGCACGGTACGCGCACGGTCAGGGGCATGAAAGGATTACACACGCCATGTCAATACAATGCGTCCTGAGCCGGTCTATCTACCGCTGACCCATCCCCCATCACTATATGACATTTCTCACTGAGCTGGAAAGGTAGAAGCAGAGCGCTGGCGTGAACGTGGAGAACATCAGGTATAACATAGAGGCCGATGCGATCGTCTAGTATACTTGGTTATCGCGGAGATTGCCATCGATCCCATTCATCTTGTGAGGCAAACTGCACGCCTCGTGTGCGCCATGAGCACAGCAGAAAGGGTGGACAATCGATAAGGTCATGCTGGGGAATAGCTAGAGAAGCATCGGGGTACCTTGCTTGTAGCCCAGCGCCCACACGGTGGACAAAGGCTTCATCAGGGGCATCTAATTGCGGTGCGATGAAAGCAAAGCGCGGTTTCTTCGCCCGAGACAGGAAGACGCGCGCAAAAGGCGGTATCGCAGGATATTTGTTCAAGACGTCGTCAGGAATTAAACCATCATCTTCCGTTTTGTTCCTCTTCTTCGGTTGCGGTTCCTCATCGCCACCATCTTCTTTTCCACCAGACGCTCCAGCAGACTCCGATAACCGCGCAGTAACCGCATCCACCGAACTCTTCCAAATATCAAGTACCTGCCCCAACTCTGTCTCCGTCCACTTGGCGACTCTCCAGCCCTGCGTAACAAGCCCATCCCCATCGTCGAACCCAGGGTACTCTGCATCAACAACGAACTTCCCCGACTCGATCGACAGCAGATGAAGCTCCAGAACCGCATCAACATCACCCTACAAGCGTTCGCGGGGCTTATCAAACGGGTCGCGCACAAAGCAGACTTGATGGGTAGTTCGACTATAAACAAGGTCGCCAAGGTCATGCGCCGTGCCCTTTTACAGCAGGATAAAATCCCCATCCTGATCTATACCTTCCCACGTATCCGGCTGCAGGCCATTGGGAGCCGAAATGCCGATGGGAAACGGGGTAAAGGCTAAATGCTGATGGTCTCCAGGGATAACGATGTCGATGGCGGATAGAAAAGCTGTGAGGTCATCGTCAAGTTCGATGTCGAGGCCCGGCGAGGACGCATCCAAAGAGTGGGCGGCGAACCAGTTGCGTTCTAGTTTTGGCTGGTGGTGGGGTAGGAGCTTAGAGCTAGCGTGCGAGACGATGGAGTTGTGCAGTTCAATGCACTTTTCAACGTCTATACCCATCTTGCGACTGAAGCTGTGTTAGTGTTTGGTCGACTAGCATCAATGAGACAAATATACTCTAATCTTGCTACCTCGCTATTAGGGGATATGGGTTTTTTCTAAATACCGTTTCTACCTGGATTTAGTTACTGCACCGAAATCCAGGAGTAAGCTTAATAAGATCTTCTCCTTACACCCTTCGTTCGTCGCGCTATCCCTGCCGCAACATGTGGATGACTTAGCGTCATTGACTATACGAAGTATCTTCCTTACCTCGCTTGTCTCACAGTAATCATCTTTGCGCATGAGCCTTTTGGGATCTTATCGCAGCAAATCAATTGCGATTACTCAGATTAAGATACGACACGTTCCAAAGCATGACTGTTCAAACTGTGGTTCAACACTCGCATCGGGCGCTGCATGCGCCGAAGTAATTTCTTGAAGCTGCAGTAAACGCAGTAGATACAAAGATATCGAGTTCTCGCGATGTTTGATCAACATACCCTCCACCTTTCGTGTTCATCGCCTCACCTTGGCAAGCCGTTTTGAACTCCTCCTCCAATGAATCTCGCGGGAAGTTCACTCATCAATAGCACCGCTCAACCAGCCGAAATGGTCGACGGAGTAGAGCCAACCATGGGAGGCTATTATCTATGGAACTACCTCCCCTCCATGACCGCATTGTTCTCATGGCGGATGTTTCAAACCAAGATTTGGTTTTGTATCTCTTTCGCCATCGGTAGCTTTCGTAAGCTATCTCCCTCAACTCAAGACTCATTTTAGAATGAAGTTGATGCCTTGTCAAAGTGGAACTCGCTGGATATTGCGCGAGAGCCTCTGTTCACAAAAAGACCAGCAAAACCATGCCTTTTGTTATCCAAAACGTGTTCATCTTACTTAGCCCTACCTTCTCTGCAGCATCAATCTACATGTGTTTAAGCCGCATCATTCGCAGTACGCAGGCCCACCATATTCCCGTAATTGCGCCCGGAGGTTGACCATGATATTCGTAACTGGAGACGTCCTCTCAATCTGGGTCCAGGGTGGTGCTTCTGGCTTATTGGTCATTGGCACAAACGCAAGATTCGCCGAAGGCATCGTCATTACAGGTCTGCTGATACAAGTTATCATGTTCGCGCTTTTCGCAGTCGCAGCAGTCATCTTCCGAAACCGCATACGAAGTCGCCCTACGCCCGAGTCGTATGATACGGATATCCCTTGGAGGAGGACCTTGTGGGTGCTGTTCATCGTTAGCTTCCTGATCATGATCAGATCTGTCTGCCGTGTTGTGGAGTATGCTATGGGCAACGATGGGTATCTTCTTCGGCACGAATGGGCTATGTACATATTTGACTCGGTTCCAATGTTTGCAGTTACAGTCCTGTACTACCTATGGTACCCGACCATACTGATTGATATAGGGGTCGAACTCCAGAGCAGTGGCATGTAGTAAATAGTGTACGCATGCGACATCTCAAGATTACGGAGTATTCGGCGAAACTTCTTCCATAATGCGTCTCGCCCTCTTCAGATCGTCCGATATTTCACAATCCCAAATCCAATCCATCCTCGATAGCGCATTGCCCCGCAAAGCTTCCAGATCGTCCCCTACTCCCTCCCCTTCAAACTGCCACAGCTTACCAGCTTCCTTGCTTGTAGTCACTAATCTTTGGCTGCGTGGTCTTCGAACTGCATCGTACGCATGGAACGCCTTCACGAGTCGTTTCTTCTGATGGCATTGCGACAGCAGCTCGCTGAGCACATAAACATCCTCAACGCACATGCCAGCTCCAGCTCCCTGTTGAGGTGTTGAGGCATGCGCAGCATCCCCTACCAGACAGATGGGAGGGTTAGTGTTATAGTAGGTCGCTGCAGGAAGGTGGTAGAATAGTGCCCAGACATCGGGCTTCTGCATGCTCTCTATCACCTTACGCGTGGAAGGTATGAAGTCTTTGAAGTTTTCTAGCATCTCTTCGCGAGATGTCTGCACCACCCAATTCGGATCCTCCCATGTAGATCGTGAGGCGAAGGCAACCACTGTATGTGTGTCAGTTAGATCACAAGAAGCAGGAGAACCAATGTACCATTGAACAACGTCCCATTCGCGATGGGGAAACTCAAAATGTGCGCGCCATAGCCCAACCACATTTGCGGCGTTTGTGGTATCTCATCACCCAGGATTTCAATAGCCTTCATCATCGGAAATAGGCCGCGATATACGTACTTCCCCGAAAACACTGGCTTCGCTGCATCCACATCGCCTAGCACAATCTGTCGTACGCGCGACTTGATCCCATCGCAACCCAATACTGCACTGTGCTGCGCAGAAGACCCATCAGCAAAGTGCAAGACCGCATCTCCAGAGCCGTCCCACGCTTCCGTAACTCTCAACACCCGCTTCTTGAATTGCGCTACACCATCGGGAACTAATTTGACAAGCTCGTCGAGAAACTGAGCGCGATGAACTCCACCGCTCGGTCCCTCTCTTCCTGGTATGGTGAAAATTTCTGCTCCCAGTTCGACACTCTTCTTCCTCTGGTCTCCTACTCTTGCTGTAAACCATACTGGTGGGTCGGTGATAACATTTCCTTTGTTGCATTTTTCGAAGGCCTCAGCAATGCGAGGGTAGATTAGCGCCATCGTGCGAACCGCGGCCGGGAAGAAACCAACACCGGCCCCAATCTCACCAAAAGCGCCTGCACTCTCGTAGAGTGTAACACTGATGTGCGGACATTTGTCGAGAAGCGCAATCGTCAGGGTAAGGCCCGCAACACCACCGCCTACTATCGCGATGCTCAATGAGCTTTGCTCGGCCATTACAATAGGTATGCGTTTCTGTATTATGGTAATGGTTGGACGTAAAGAGCTTGGAGGTAGTAGTTAGTCGGAACACTTGAAATACGAGATTTGAGTCGTAGAGCACCCTGCAGCTGTTCATGCGGGCTCTAGGCTACTTAAGCAACTTGATAGTGAGGGGTAGTAAGACGACCCGTATCTGGTGGGGCGTACGCTTACCACGCAGGTACACGGCGATAGAATAGAGCGCACTCCAAGGCCCCGCGCTCTGGAACGTAATCGTCTCTACTGCTACATGCTTACAATGTGCCTCCCGTCTAACACCGAACTTGCATCATGCTAGCGCCATGTTGATCCAGACCGAAGAAAGATGTGCTAGGTAATCCTAAGACTAGGAGCGATATGAAGATTGATGCAAACGTGCCCCACTATCGAGATGCGCACACCATCGAAATGCGCACTCTGCCAAGCCCCCACCACTTTCAACTCTCTATTACAATGTCTCAACTACCAAATCTTGAACTGCTTTCTACTGAAGACAGAGTCATCCAGGCTATCCAAGCTATGAAATCTAACGCGTCGCTTACCCAGCGACAAGCCGCGCATCGCTACGATATACATGAAAGCACTCTCCGCAATCGACGCGCTGGGAAGGCTTCACGACGCGATACTCAACCCAACCGATTAAAACTCTAGAGACATGAAGAGGAGGCGATTATACAATATATAAGGAAGCTTGACGCGCGAGGCTTCGCCCCTACGCTTAACTATGTGCGAGAAATGGCCAACCAACTACTAGCTACACGTAGTGGTAGCTAGGTTAGAGAAAACTGGACCTACAGGCTTATACGCCGGAGACCTGAGATTAAATCTCAGGTAACAAGACAGCGGGATCACTAGAGAGTCCTCTGCAGCGACCCAGCTATTATTAGGCCCTAGTTCAATCTTGTACACAACGTTAAGGCTAAGTATAGGATTCTAGATGAAGACGTCTATAATTTTAATAAGACTAGCTTCTAGATAGGCGTTGGAGGGTCTGTTAAGGTAGTAACAGCCTCTGAGAGACGTCTCAAGCCACTTAGTGTTCAGCCTAGTAATCGTAAGTAGGCAACGCTAATTGCTGGCATCAACGCGATAGGGTGGTCTATCCCACCCTTTTTTATCTTTAAGGCAAAGAACTATAACTAGGCCTAGTATTACAACCCTAAAGATTGGAGGATAGGAGTTAGTAAGAATGGCTAGACAACAAACGAGCTTGGTCTTGCATGGCTGCAGCACTTTATCCAGCATACAGAGGCTCGCACAGTAGGTAGTCACTAGCTGCTTATTATTAATGGCTATAAGAGCTACAAGTCGCTCGCCTTCCAGGATCTGTGTGAGGAAAGCAATATTATCACCCTCTGCATGCCTCCACACTCATCGCACATCCTACAGCCACTTAATATAGGTTGTTTTGCCCCGCTAAAGCAGGCGTACAAGAAGGAAGTTAGGGGCTTGGCAGACAGCCACATCTACCACATCAACAAGAAAGCCTTCCTAGCTGCCTTTAGGCCAATATTTGACAAGGCGTTCTTAAAGAAAAATATCTTATTAAGCTTTCAAGCAACTGGCTTAGTCCCACATAACCCAGATGTGGTGTTATCTAGGCTTAAAGTACAGCCTCGTACGCCAACACCACCTGCATTAGGGCCTACCCCTTAGGAACCTAAAACACCAAGCAACGCCTAGGAGATAGAGGCTCAAACAACGCTGATTGTCAAGAGGATAACAGATTACAAGGAATCATCACCTAATTCTATCATTGAGATGGTGTTGCAGGTCAAAAAGGGATCAACTTCAAAGGTGCACTTACACACGTTGCTTGAGGCTAGAATAGCCAACCTTAAGGAGGCAAACCAGGCAGCATCTGAACGTAAAAAGCGCAAGAAAAAGCGAATCCAGAAGGGAGGGACCCTATCGCAGGCAGAGGCAGAGGATATAGTTAAGCAAAGGGATGTTAAGATCCAGTTAGAGGTGGAGAGGCGTCAGGAGAGGGTGCGCGCAGGTGGTAGTGCAGGAGGTATCCGACGCTGCAAGAACTGCGGCGAGGCAGGACATAATAAGCGCACATGCAAGAAATATGCAGCAGAAGTAGAGGATTAATTCGAGCTATTAAATGCGTAGATAGCTTGTTGTGGTGTTGAGTTATTCGCATGCGAACATGGATTGCTGTATTTCGTGCGCATTTCGATGGTGTGCGCATCTCGATAGTGGGGCACGTAACTATCTTTTCTTCGAAATAGCACTTCTGCACGAGCTCAAGCGAGATGTCTATGGTTCACATTCATCACGGCTGACTACTTGATGCCTCCGACTATTACGGCCTTCAACCCCTTACGACATCGACATCGTGAGTCACCCTAATGCCCTGCAATACAAGACGTTCACTTTTACTACTGTTGCTGCGTCACGGCTGGCTTGTGACGAGCGCGCCCGCCTTCGAATCCTCCACGATGCGCTCTTGACTCTCACTCGGGCTGACGTCGCCGAGAGTATCAGCCTTACCCCTCGCTCCGCTGCGCATACCTCTCATGGCAAACGAGTCATGGTTCACATTCCCGGTACGAGGACGCGAATTCCTCAGCCCAAGACCATTTGATCCGCTGTGTCCGTACTGTTGATACGCGCCACTCGTACCTTTTCTACTTCGCCATTTCTTTGGCCACAATCCCCCTATGCTCTTCCGAAGACTGATTAAGCAAGCACATATCACCCCTGTAGCTGCTTCGATGAAGCTCCATAGATTCGTAGGTGCTGACGCCCAGGTAGGCTCTTTGGTTCTCAGACTTAGGGACAGCGTAGACATCCGAAGCGCGGTTATGAGGCAGATGAAGAAACCCATCGAGAAGAGGATCACGAGGCCGATGCGCGAGCCCATGGACATGTTCAAGCCAAAGATGACAGGCATTGGTAGTATGAAGATTGCGAGGTCTGCAGATGTACGAGTGCGAAGTCAGTGCATATCTTACATGCACTTGTACAGTCACAACTTACCAGTAAGGAGATTGAGGATGGCGTTCGATCAGCTTGAGAAGATGTCAGTGAGAAATCAGTTTTTATCGTTGCGTTACCTACCGATGCCAGAAGAAGTTGATGCATGTGCCCGGTATGGTTCGATTATAGACGCGAGGCACTGGTGTGCATTGGAAAATACAGACAAAAAGGTACGAAACGGTCCAGCAGACTGATATCGCTCCTAGTATCATGCATACTTGTCAAAAGCGTTGCATTGGAAATACACGGTAGTACAAGGCCAGTAAAGCCATCTTGTTGAAGCCATTTGTGAGAGTGTAGAAGGACTGCGTAAGCCAGAATGACTGTCAAGGAAGTATCAGCACATTGCGATGATCTTCTTGTCGATCTTTTCACTCGCCTTGAGCGCCTCCGTGACACTACCACCAGTTCGTTGGATCTCGGCTGTGTGCGTGCCAAATCCGTACGTTGTGGATCTATAGATGAACGCCGCGAGCAGGACGAGCCAGATCTTACAATTCAATTAGCACGGGCAGTGTTTCGATTGGTAGATATTCACGTTCGCTGTAATCACAAAGGCATCTTCCAACCCCAGCCAGCCCCTACTTGTGATTGTATTCGTGATTCGCCAAGTCAACAGCAGCGTCGAGACAACTGTCAACGTTACAGTCACCCATTGCAAATCTTGCCGCTGTCCTTCGTACGCGGAAAAGATCATCGTGGGTGACGGCCATATAGCTCTTGCGTCTGCGAAATCACCAACCCAGTCAAATGAGTACGATCGTGAAGCTATGAACCATGCGAGTATACTTATAGTAGATCTTGCAGTGTTCGCATGAGGCTGAACATGCTCAATTCGGGAAGCCGATACCGCGCATCAGTCATCCGTCCTCTCTCGACCATGTATTGCATGTCTCATTTGAATCCTGCTCGGTGGTTTTTGCGGCCGCTACCAAGCCCGGGTACGAAGTAGCTGAACACCAGGAGCTCGGTGACAGAGCAAGCATCTCTTCATGAAGCGATCTGGGTAGCGGAAATCATACCCTGCAGGTAGCGGTAGCCGCGGTTTGTGTTGCATCGCATACGCGCTGCGCATGCATATGGGTGAATATTGGCATATCCGCTTCGTCGCCTCGGAAGAGCATAGCAACTCGAACAAGCGACAGAGCGATTCTGTAACGCCTTGGCTGCTCTTGGCCCTACCTTCCCCGACGAGGTACCGGAAGAAAGATTGTGCTGCGTTTGAACGGATTGCGATCTGCGCCGATCGATCATAGTGTTGCGGCGATGTTGTTGGTCCGGTCGTTCAGTCCACCGATCAGTGTAATGCCATGCTTACCGGCATCCATTGAACTCCCGCTCAGTGTCAACCTCAGCTCTGTCGATATGCTAATCATCAGACGCGGCGTTCCCTCGGTCATACTCTTGCGGTAATGTCTTTGCGCCGAGCAGGAAGCGGTTTAAATGAGGCCGACGCGAAGGTCTGGAGCGTTGTTGGATGTTTGATTTTGCGGGCCGCTGCGGCGGGGGAGAAGGCGCCCCTGCCGGGGAGTATCCAAGCTTTCATTCCGAGCTCACTAGCTCATAATGTCACCAGGGTCTGCCGCAGCACTAGTATCGAGATAAGCCTCGTGCCGAAGTCGTTCATATAACGATAGGTCCAAAATCCGTGGTTCGTATATTCAGTTCGCAACTATGCCTAGCAACATCCAATCCTGCTAAAGCGCAAACCCGCCCCACGTCGGCAACTTTCTCACCCCATTTACGTACGTGGTTCAATTTACTCATTGATCCAATCATGATCGCATCGCTAAGGAATTTGGAGAAGGATCGTAAACGGTCCGTTGATCCTTCTCAACAGTGTGCTGTAGTAGCAGTCTATACAGAAAAGCTTGGAGACTGCTCGAGTCGTCAGTTGAGGTTATTTTTCTCAACTTGGGTTTCTCCCGGTAATCAGAGCTTCCAGACGACGGCACTAGATGCCGGGATGAAGTATACGTTGACGGGCGTAATTATACGACCTGTAGTACATAGAACTTACAGCGGCTCTTGTCCTAGCGCGTTCTGCATACAGCCTGGTGCTGATACTTGACGTCGAACTGCCGCGAAATAACAACACTGCCTACACCTCCTCTGTTGTTTCTTCAACTCCGGCATGGCAGATACTAATTCTGCCGAGAAGGGCATGCATGTCCACGACTCACCACCAGTATCACCAGCAGGTTCGACGACCGAGCATGGCTTTGATCGCGCTGCTGAGCGGCGGCTGCTTCGCAAGCTTGACCTTCGCATCTTGCCAGTACTATGGATACTGTACCTAGTTAACTTTATCGACCGGTATGTCAGCTTCCTCCTCCGAAGCGTTCTAAAGCTAGGTTAACATGCGTCCCAAGAGCCAACATCGGTAACGCGAAGATTCAGGGCATGGAGACAGAACTGAACCTCATCGGCCAGCGATTCAACATTGCCGTTTGGGTTTTCAACCTCGGGTACTTGGTAGCTGGCGTTCCGTTACAAATCGCCTTCAAGAAGTACGGACCAAAGAGTCTGTGCGTCATGATGTTTTGCTGGGGTATCACAGTCATCGGTTGCGGACTGGTCAAACGATGGGAAGAACTCGTCGTATGTCGCCTACTAGAAGGCATCGCCGAATCTGCGTACATCAGTGGGGCCGCATATTTGATCGGCGCGTACTATTCCAAGCGTGAATACTTGACGCGCTACGTTTTCTTCTGCACAGCTGGTATCGTTGCTGGCGCAATCAACGGGTTTCTATCATCGCTCATCGCCAAGATGGACGGCACGGCTGGCTATTCTGCTTGGAGGTGGTAAGCATGCGCACTAGCTCATTTCCATCGAAAAGAAGTTGCTGACGCAAAACAGGATCTTCATCATTGAGGGCTGCATTACTATCTTCGTCAGCATGGCTTGCTGGCCTGTCGTTCCTCCATTCCCCGAGAATTGCAAGTTCTTGTCTCCCGAAGACAAAGCGCTTATGCTCGCGCGCATTCAGGCTGATGGAGGCCATGTATCCGACGATGAGATCTCCTTCAAGAAGGCCTTGCACTTCCTCAAAGATTGGAAGATCTGGGCTGGGTAAGCTAGGTGAATCTGAACGCGTATGCTACATGACTGACATTCCGTTAGAGTCGCAATGAACCTCGGTGTCACGGAGAATGCAAACTCACTTTCGAACTTCCAACCGACGATCCTCAAAGGGCTGGGCTACACCGCAACGCAAGCACAGGTTCACACCATTCCTGTATATCTCGTCGGCGCTGCCTTTTCGGTCATCTTTGCTTACATGTCCGAGTGGTTCAATCGGCGATATATGTTCTACGTCCTGGGCTGGGCCGTTCTCGCATTGGGTCTCATCGTGGAGATTGTATATCCTTCCAACCCCAAAGTGCGCTACACGGGAATGTTCTTCATCGCATGCGGGTGTTACCTCGCTATGCCCATCTCCATCATTTGGGTGTCAATGAATTGTGGAAGTGGGTACAAGCGCGCAGTTGCCATCGCCGCCATCATCAACTTCGGCACCGCTGGAGCATTTGTTAGTTCAAACGTCTTCTTGTTCAAGGAGGCGCCCCGGTTCCGCACCGGTTTCAGTACGGGTCTGGGTTTAGCCTGCATGGGAGCCGTGGCCGCAACTATTACTTGGTTTGGCTGCCGGAGGGAAAACAAGAAGCGTGACAAAGCAAGGCTTCAGATGCCAGAAGTCCTCGACCAAAGCATGGAGTTAGGTGATGAGTAAGTGTGCCAGTATGACTTGCATATGAGACATACACTGACTTCGTAAACCCACATTTAGGCATCCTGACTATCGTTTCGCTTTGTAGGCGAGGTACAAAGTTCTGTTGAAGGTGTAGAAGAAACGAGTGGCAGATAAGAAAAGATAGCTGGACTGTACACAAAACAACAAATCCACAACGCTTCAAACAAGGTCGCCCTGACTAGAGACCGCCTTTCCCATCCAGCAGTAGATCAAGGGAAAGGACTATTCTTAGGCACATCATCGTGAGATAGTGACCGGACCAGATTGACCCATCAATGCTATCATGCCCCAACTCAGCAAATCCCAACGTCTGGCGGTAGGCGTGTGCTATCTAAACTCTAGTATTTTGCGTGCTCGACTTTCTCAACGTCTTGATGCATCTTCTAGTTGTGTAAATTCTTCTGTGGGCCGTCGACAATAACAGCGATCTCTTCAAGTAATGGGTCCTTGGTCTCAGGGAAGACGAACCAGACCCTTGCGAACTCGACCATGATCCAGACGACATTGTAGCCGGCAGCCTTGTTGGTGTGTTCCTTTGCAAATCTTGCATTGCAAGCGGTAATGCAGACGACAATAACCCACATGGCTACCAGAAAGTTTGAAAATAATGAGCAGCGTCCCAGATTGACAGGGAGAATGGTGAAATAGAGAGCTAAGAACCAGGAAGTCATGTGGTTAGTGGCATTACAATGAAACCACCAAGAGTGGTACTAAGCTTTACAACGGCCATCTTTACGCCCTGTCAGATTTAGTCGATTCGTAGTGTGAGATGAACCATGTTGGTACAGTCGAAGATGTAGATACTTTTGTACCACAAATCGCCACAGCTGCGTCTGTTGGCAAAGACTATATTCTGGGTGTTAGGCCTAGATGACGTTATATTATCCCACACCATGATCAATAGTTCACTTATTATACGTACCTTTTCGGTTGCATGGCGTAGTGGTGGAGGACTGCGTTCTGACACTAGGTAAGTAACTCATCAGACCTCGACCCTCTTGCCGGATCGCAGTCAAGCTATGTGCTACATGTATACCAATAACAGAATTGAGGGGACATCGTCTTGCTCCAGAGTGAGAGGCCATGAGACTATATATGTGACGAGTGCTTACGTGGCCTAATACGTGAAGAGCTGACCGTGTTGGCTGACACCATAATTGCTAACAAGAGCAAAATCAGACGAGACTGACTCCCATAGCTTCGACGAGGAGACAGACGCAACCTTTCGAGCTGCACTATTCACTATTGACCACACGTTCCCTGCTGTTTCTAATGACCTGATCCAAGCCCCAACCAATCAATTGAAAATGTCCATCTTCTTTGACCCGGCTGGCGGCTCCCTATCAAGACCAGCATCCTTAAGAGACGTCTCAAGGGAAGTCCAACCATCTTGACCGAACACATTCTTCAGCGCCTTGAGTGCGCCCTCAGTCGGCGGCTCGCTATCGTCTAGCTCTAATCCCGGGAAGTCGTCGAGGGACTTTCTCTGAGGCCACAGTTTGCGAAAGATCCCGAGCACTACGTTCCAGTGGAAGGGCTCGCCATATCCCCATAGCCGTCTGCCAGCGGTCTCCGGATCGACGAGGGCAGCAACATGCAGCTTCGCATCGTCGCGAACGTCAATGTGGTACATCGGCAACACGCTCTTGAATATGGATTCATCGTTGTCGAAGACAGCTTTGGGAAACCTTCCACTGGAGCCATAGCCTTGCTTTTCGTAGACTAGCGAAGGTCCAAAGTTGACATTCGGGAGAATGGTGTTGAAACTGAAGTGCGGCTTCTCCTCTTGCATGTACTTCCATGCTGCCTTCTCTGATATCGCTTTGGCAGCACCATACACTATGAAAACCTTGGAAGGGTGCTGAAAGTTTGGGTCATAGGCATATCCGATAAAGTCCTCGTTATACTGCCACTCTATGAGCTTGCCTTTAGCACCCCAAGCTGAAGCAGCCAAGGCAGTGGACGTGAAAACGACAGATCGAACAGTGGACTCTGCTTGAGCAGCCTTGAGAATGCCTACAGTTTCTTTCACCATGTTGGGAATGTAAGGCTCTGGATCAGTCGAGCGCGCCGTGTTGACTGCAACGTGAGCGATACCCGATACACCCTTTATACCCTCTGCAAAGCCAACCAAATCGGATGAGTCGGAAAGGGAGACTTGAGAGTAACGTCCTGGGCCAAAGGTAGAATCGAAATGATCCTGAAGCCAAGTGGCCTTCTCAAGGGAGCGAACTGCGCCACGAACGTTGTACCCGAGACTGAGAGCTTCATACGCAACCCAGGACCCAATATATCCTGTCACACCGGTGACGAAGATGGTACTTCCCTTGGGCAGGCGGGATGTTGTCGGATTGAACATGGCTGTTGATTTTCGCGTTGGTATGGCGTTGATCGATTGATGAATTAGAGAGGTGAGGGTATTGGGAGCTGAGTATGATTTGACGTAGCGATGTTGTTGCTCCTTAATTGCTGGTGTTCAGACTGGAAACCATCGTGGTTGCTTATAACTCTACAGTTGGATCCTCTGGTCACTCGACCGTAAGGTTTCGCCCGCCTGGCAGCATCATGAAACAGAACTTAATGCAGATTACTAATCTGAGAAGCTTAGAAAGACTGGGCGTAGAGTGACCAATTAGCAACAATAGAAGGGCCGACATTCAGTCATGGGAAATGGCAATCCCTACCCAGCGGCGCACTTTTCGTCCGAATCTTATATGCGGTGTATCTACGTTCATGTTACCATCCTCTCTCTGACCAAAATGATATACTGTCCGATGTGAATCTACGATCAGATGTGCGTGCACGCTTTTGGGTGAGGAGACGCAATTTGGCGTCGCCTTGCCCAAGCGGTAGGGAGCACGAAAGCATCATGCCCTATGCGCGCGACCACAATTTTTTACTCGGTCAAGGCGCTGCGAGTTTGTACGGATGACTGAGCATCGCAGTGTTTTGAGAGCTGTAGGATGGAGTGATGGCAGTGAAATGTTGATGGCGACACAATGCCGTGTTATGTACCGTCGGAGTCATGAGGCACGGCGCGGCGCTGATCTAATTCGATGCGTGATTGTGATGGCCTGTCAACACCGACTCCACAACCATACCTCCACAAGCACATCGCCCAAGCCAAAAGCCAGCAGTCTTCTTTCTGGAACGATATTCCGAAATTTTCATACGCTCCTCAGAAGAGCATCTATACATGTCCCAGTTGCACACATGTAATGCCCATGGCCGGTCTCTCCGCGATACGGCCTTTCCGACCTTCTGGGCTTAGAGAATGAATGGGTGCAGCTTGTTTGGAGAATACCAGGCAGCAATTCGAAAGCGTGGAAGCTTTACAACGATGGCAGGGAGAAGACGTTGGCGTAGTCGCACGCTGATCCCGCGTGATGGTATCCCCATGATTCTCCACCATTCCACTTGAGTATGCGCCTTTACTGTCAAACGTTTGCTAATTGCTTAGCCATGTATGAAGCCTGGATGATCTCGAAATCCGGCCGATAGACTCGTACCGTAAAGCCTCCCGTCGCCACCGTCGCATTCGATCGTGATAATGGACGTCAATGCTGGCAGGCTTCCACCCACCTAGCCTTTACTGCCTCCTTCGCGATTCAAATATCCTTCCATCGCCGTGACCGTGTGTTCATTCCGTTCAGCCGAATTTAGAAAGGAAGATGATACGGGTAAGCAGACACATTTGATTTTCAACCCAGTCACACAGGACTGCGGTACAGGCTTAGGCTGCGCACAAGGGAGGTGGATCATGGGAGCTGTCGTTCAAGCATGCTGCCGCATCTACTGTTGAACGTAGAAGGTGTGTATTTTGTATCAATTTGGACGTTGCGCTGTAACGGTGAGCCATCTTATCAGATCGCGCAAGGCTCTGACTGCATACGCGATTACGCGCACCTCCTTCGCGCGCCAGGTTGCGGAGTACATCATGATATTAACTGCACCGCATCATCTTTCTAATATCCTAATTACTCCTTGCGCTATCTTCCATCACTACTACAATGGCTGACGTGGTTGTTATAGGCGGCGGACTTGCTGGCATAGTCATGGCATCCCGCCTACATGAGAGAAAGCCGTCGCTCTCGATCATACTCAACGAATCAGGATCTGATCCCACCGGTAACCCATATGTGGTCGTTCCAGCCGCGGTTGTAAATCTTCACTTCTCTGGAGACGACCACAAATACTCCTCAACGCCCTAAGACTATCTTGACGGAAAACTGAGGCGCAAAGTCGGTTTCAGAGGGCTTGGTGGCGGAAGCGTTATCACCACCGGCAATAATGTAGCCGCCTGGTGTGGACACTCGGCTGATCAAAGTAGGTGGCTGAATCCGAGGGGACGCGATGGAGTACGATGAATGGGCGCGCGACGTTGGCGATCAGCGTTGGAGCTATGAGAGTCTTCTTCCCTACTTCAAACGTACTGAGAAGCATTTCGACCCTGATGCGGATCCCTACCAGCACGATTACGATGGTCGAATGCACATTGCATCAGTCAGCTCAACCGGTCGCAAGTTCCCATTGTGCGACACGGTGCTGAAGCTGTGGTCGAACTTGGGTATACCTCACATTCGTGATTTGAACGACGGACGTCCACAAGGTGTCAGCGAACCTTTAGGGAACTTCCAAGACGGCAGAAGACGGATGACGCAATCGGTGTTCCCACTGGGGCACATTCGGGTGCTAACGGATACCAGACTTGTCAACAATCAAGCCGATCAAGCCTCAGCCTCCGGCTTGACTTGAGGCTTGAACATTGTGTCAAAAGGCTTGATTGATTAGCTTGTTTGCAGTACTAGCTTAAGGCTTGATTAATTAGCTTGATTGGCTTAGAGTTATACAGATTAATTGCCTATACTAACTACTCATCTTCACGATCCCAATCGCACAATCCGTATATAGTGTCTATCTCAGCGTCAGTTAGTGTTGCTGTCGCACTGCTACCACACTGATCAAAACTAGCCCTATACCACCGCCGTACACACTGTATAGCTGCTAGTAACTAGGGTAAGATCTGCCGCCGTCGGGGTTCAAGGAGGTCGCCAAGCTCGCTGAACATGCGCTCGCACTCGCAGCTTGAAGCAGGTATAGAAAGCACATCAATAGCCATCCAGGCAAGGTTAGGGTAGCAATCACGCAAGCCTACCCAGTATTTAATAGGGTAAACGGCAGCGTAGCTGTCCTTGTTGACCTTTAGTTCGCGCGCCTTCCACCTCTCATACTCATCTATATCGCCATCAATAGCAGCCGCGGCACCGTCTAGGTCGAGGAGGGCTTCAATAGCGTCGTCGATCTCGCTAGAGATAACCTTTAGCCGTCTTACCGCGCGTAGTAAGGTGTTGTACTCTGCCCAAAGCGCGCGAAACGCGCAGTTGTTAGCCTCTAGCCACTCAGGTTTGTCCGCCCAGACAAGCTCGCAATACGTTTTATAGCGCGGATGAAGTAGAGTTGCAGCATAGTACGCGGGTAAGAGGTCGAGCTTGTTGTAGTAATTATTAGCCTTCGCCTAGGCAGCGCGGAGATTAATCAAGAGATAGTCTTTAGGCGCCTCGTTGTGCGCGTTATAGTCGACGGACTCGTAAGCTTTAACGCGCTGCTCGTAGTAAGTAAGTATATACTCAAAGACTAGGATAACCTCAGCGATAGCGCCGTAACGGCCACCTCCAACGCGACCGTCAGCGTCTCTGCCACGTCCTTCAAGGCGCTTTGTTGCAGACTTCAGCGGCTTCAACACATCGATATACTCAGTAACGACCGCCCAGTCAGTAGCTGTGAGGCCGTCGGATCGCATCCAGGTCGCAGCCTCAGGCAGCTTGCTACCACGGCTAATCGCGTACGTGTCCTCATCTCGTATCCGACGTATATAATAATTAGCGTAAGCGTTAACAGCGCGCTGTAACTTAACAGCACGCTCAAAGGCAGAATAATATGAGTTCCAGCGAGTAACAACTAGCTTAACGGGAGCAAGTATTTCGCGCTAATCAGCGGGCAGCTCACTGTTAGCTAGGCCCTAGAATGTTTCGAAAAGCTCGAGCTGCTGCGGCGTTTTAATGTAGTTAATCACGCTAAGAAGCACGCCAAGTGGCCCATCCTCGCGCCAGTTGCGTAATAGCTCGCTCTCAACAGCAGCCTCGCTGCTATCGTTGTCGTACGCGTCGTTGTTGTTGCCCCAAAGCAACGCCTGGCCGATTAGGTTAAGAGTATAAGCACCGCAGCGGAGGCGACGATAGGTAGCATTCAAGCCCATCTGCTCCGCAATCCTAAGGACAGCAGCGTCGTTATTAGTAGCGTTGTCAAGCATAAAGTAGCCAATAGTACGCGAGTTAATACCAAACTGCTACAGAGTTTTACTAATAATTTCAGCAATTTTCTCGCCAGTATAGGCGCCTGTTAGCTAAGGTAACGCGATAGGGAGGTCTACAAGGTCGCCAGCGCTGTTAACGTAGTGCGTAACAACGCCTAAGAAGCCGCGCTTACCGCGCTTCGTCGTCCAACCGTCAAAGCTAATATAGATCTTACTAAGCGACTTTGACAGATCAGCGACCACCTGGGGCAGCATGAAGTCAAAACGACGCATCACGTACCGCGAAACGCTTGCGTAAGACGTCCACAACGCTGCAGCTGCCTCTAGGTTTGCAGCTTCAAGCATCTGTCGAAACGCAGGCTTCTCAAACTCAGAGAGCGGGTAGTTACCGTCTACGAGCCAGGCGACTGCAGTATGTCGAAAGGCCTAACAATCAAAGCCTCCAAGCTCGTTGGCGATACCTTGCGATACCTTAGCAGTGGTAGCTTTCAAGATAGCGCGTAGGCCACCCTTGCCTGCCTTCGTAGCGCTGTGCACTTTACCAGGAGCTGCGAGGCTGTGGCCGCGTCTAAGCTGCTCGAGATGGCGTGCTGAGGTTGACGTTAAGAGCGTTGTTTCGTATATACCACCTTGCCCTGCGTCTATCCACTTGTGCTGGTAGCAATAGCGACAGACAAAGAAAAGACAATCAGGGTCCTTAATAAGCGCAACGCGATAGCCGTAGCAGTATACCCAGCTTTTGCGCTATTTCTGGGTAGCTACAGGCTTGCAATATAGCGGCAAGCGCGCCCAATCTATGCCATCAAAGTTGTCAGCAAAGCGCTCATCAAGACCCTTGTTGCAGTCCTCACTACTGTCCTCGTCCTCCTCAGTTATAGCAACTGTCGCGGCGCTGCTGCCTTCAGTTAGCGCTACAATAGCGGCTTCAGGCTAACTCTCGCGAAACTGCAACTCGAACGTGGGCGGCTCAGTAGCCTAAGACGCGGCAATCGCTAGGGCTTTGCGTAGTAAAAGACGCTAAGGTAGCTAGTGGCTCTCATCGATGTTGAAAGGCTGCGACTTAGTGCCGCGAGCAGCGACTTTGGCGCGCTTATTTAGTGTAAAAGCGTTTTTATGCGGACGTTTAGGGGGTCGGGGAGGCGACATAGCGACGATAGAGGCAAGTATAACACCAAAAAACGCGTCAGTATACGCGAACAGGTGGGCTTTAGCAGCTCTAGAACGGAGATAATCACATCAAGGTTGTGCGCTAAAGCATAGCTGACTAAGCGAAACTCAACACTAGAAATGCATCGCGAGATCGCTCGTACGGCAAACTAAATAGCCTCACCAACATTGACGCTAAAACATCAAGCCAATCAAGCCAATCAATCAAGCTTTAGGGAGGAAGGCTTGATTGACTGCAAAATTGCTAGGCAGAAGCTTGGCTTGATCGGCTTGGAGTTTCGATCAAGCCTCAATCAAGCGCTTGTATTCAGCTTGATTGTTGACAAGTCTGACGGATACTATCGTTCGACGTGTGGTATCTGACGAGGCGGAGACAGCAGTCGGCAAAGAGCTTGCGAATGGTCATAGGATTGATCTCAAAGAAGTTGGTCAAGCCATTGTTTCCGCGGGCGCTTACCTAACGCCGCAATTCTCAATGCTTTCTGGCATTGGCGACCCCTCTCAGCTATCGTACACAACATTCCAGTTGTGTCCGACCTACCATACGTGGGTCAGAATCTTTGTGACCATTTGATAATGTATCGATACTAGAGACTTCGGCATTCGGAGAAGGGCCTCGCTATTACTCGCCACGTTTTCACGGTGCAAACTATGACAAGGGAGGACCGGCAGATTTCTTGGTGCGCGCACCAATACCTCTCGCTCCAATAAAAGCAGTTATCGAGAGAGAAGAAGGCCCAATATCCGAGGAGCACCCATTGCTCAGGGGCCCACGTACCCACCTCGAGATGCTGCTCCTGTACATCGCTGTACCGAATCACAGGATCTCCAGATCCTGATTGATGGCTCTTCAATCATGACCTTCTTGATGGGCTGTCTTCCAACCTCGCGAGGCTCCGTGACTTTCGCGTAGTCTGATAATTCTATCATCGACCCAAGCTACTACGCTACAGAAGCTGACCGCAACGTCATGTGCGAAGGCTTCCGCACGCAATCGCAGCTCATGTTTGGCACAGCTGAAGGCAAAGAACTTGTTGACAGCGAACATACCCCACCAGGGTACTTAGTACTAAAGACAGAAGCTTCAGACCAAGAGATTGATGCGAGAGTCAAGATGGGCGCAAGTACCACGTATCAGCCTGTGGGAACGGCGGCGATCCGAACGGTTGTTGATGGTTCGTTGAGGGTGTATGGGGTCAAGAACTTGCGGGTTGCGGATGTGAGTATGGTGAGTTGCTTGTTGTACATGACGCTGACTGAGGCTAACTCAAGGCAGATTCCCAAACCTCTCGCGGCACATTATCAGGTTCCCGTTTACTGTTAGTCATTATGTTCTCGGTTGATGTACGAATATACTGACATATTCCAATAGCAATCGCAGAGCATGCCGTGGATATCATAGTGGCTGAGTATTTCAGCTGAGCATTTCGTTGTGCAATTTAGTCTCTGATGGTGGACTTCAACATGCTTGGGGTTACATATATCTACGCTGCCTCTTAGACATCAGCATGTTCGACTTTCCAACCCCCTGGCATCAAATCCGTGAAAACCCTTTCAGGATCATATTTCGCCCTTGCCATCCTGAGTCTCTCCACGCTCTCACTTCCATAACTCTCAAAGACTTTCTGGCCCTTGTCAGCGTCATTCAGATAGATATACCTGTTCAGACCGTCAACCTCCTCCAACTTCCTCTCGATATCCTCATTGACAGTCTTAACCCAGTCGGCAATTTCGCCATCAAATTCTCCTTCACTACCCCAACTAATAGCCTCCTCTACCCAGAACGCCGGTTCGAGCGGGATGTTCTGTGGCAGCCGCGCAGATCTAGCAACCATTTCGCGGTTCACAATGTTAAAAGCGACGCCTGCGAAGAAATTAGGAACTTTATTTGCGAGACCTGATTCAGCCAGCGAGTTGAAGAAGGTGTCGTGCACGATCTTGAGTGCTTCGGCGTTCGCTTTGATGGAAACAACACGGAACTTTTGGCGCAGGCCGTGAGATTGTGCACCGTCTTTAAATGCTGAGCGCATTGCGCGACCATACCGCGCGAGAGAGACGGGACGCATTGTCGACGTGCCATTCAAAGCTTTGAGACCTGTGGTATTGCCGTATATGAACTCAGTCAACGGGCCCGAGGTTGGTGCAGAGGTATCGTTGTAGAACAGTGTGCTTTCATAAGACGGTGCGGTAGAACTGGGGCCCCAGCGACAGACTGGAATAATTGTTGAGTCAAGATCTTCGTCGTTTGTAAGAGCCATATTCAGGACGGCGGCGAGGTAGGCGTCTCGGGTTTCGTTCGTGGAGCCGTAGTGCGCATCTGCGAGAAGTGGCGTGATGGACGGGAACGTCTGCAGATCGAATCGAGTTATCAAAGCGAAGGAGTTACCGCCGCCACCGAGCGCCCAATAGAGGTCTGAGTAGGTGCTGTTTGCAGTTATGGTGGCAATGGTACCATCTGCGAGGACGGCCTGGGGTGATTTAGCTCTTGCCCAGGGTTTCGCACAGAGTGCTTAATTCTGCTTTCGTACCTCATATGCCTTGATCTTTCCCTCGGAAGAAGCTAGCCCATGCTTGACACTGTACCAACTAATACCACCACCAAGAAGCAGACCAGGTACCCCAACAGGTGCCAGTCGACCTCCGATAACAGTTTTGTTGGTAAACTCAAGGTAGTTGAACACATCGCCCCATCGAGGTCCAGGGCCAATGCTCATTGTCTCCCCGTCTTCAGAAAGCTCCAATGTGTTTAAGTTGGTGCTTGAAATCAAGACTCCTGTGCTGTTAATGTTCGCAGCGTCCGATATGGGCATGTGACCACCACCTCGCATAGCGAACTTTGTAGACGTATCGACGAACGTTTTGACAGCGAAAGAGAGGGATGTTGCACATGTTGGGGCAAAGATACAGGCTGGGCCGAGCCAGGCGGAGGAGTCCCAGGGCACTGCGTTCTTATCAGCTCGCGAACCATCGTCTGCGCATCTTTATGATTGACCTTGATTCTCATCCACGTAGCCTGCATCTTCTGGAAGATACGTGATGTTTGGATAGACATGTTTTAGGATCTCGCATGCAGTCGATGGGTCAGAAACATTCTGCGAAGCCAGTAACTGAAAAGCTGAAGCTGAAATTGCAAAAGTGAAAGGAACCAAGTCCCTGATTGGAGCCATCATAGAAATAGCAGGGATCAAAATAGTGGAGGAAGAGTGTAGACAAATGAATGCAACTGCGCAACAACCCGTGTTTATATCAACACATTTCCGGAGACATCCGTCCATGTACCAACTGCGCCTATCTATACGCAATCTCTCATGCCTCTTCCCTTCTAGTAGCTAAAGATCAATGCACGAACGTCGTCCGGTTGTAAACTAAACCCCAGCGTCTTTACACTTCGATCCTTGCATGGATGACCGGGTTCGTATAGGGCTGCCGTAAATGTAGACATAGAACAAGTGTACGATGATTCCTGTGTTGTGATTACGATTTCCGTCGCGTCCAGTAAGGTGTTATGAAACGCCTGACAGTTGTCGCACTCGGAAGCGTGTCGGTGTCGGTTTCGGTTTCGGTCTCGCACCTGTGCTTTTTCAGTCTATCGGGCTGTTTTGATCTGCCCAGAGTACTACGAGCGCCATGCATTAGAGTAACAGCAGGCAGATCATGGAAAGTACCATCTGGCCTGGAACGACCTCTTGGACAATGTGGACGAAGTAGTTGAACGCACATGTCTTTGCTTAAAGTAGATAGTGCTTCCCGATCACCGAGAACACCATCTACGCGGAGTTAGCACACGTGCATAGCTCGAAAGTATGTCAAGGTAAAGAGGTACGCATGTTCATCAGACTTCCGAATACAGTCAAAAATGTTATGCAAACACAATCGCAGTGCGGATACACATGAAGAGGAGGCTAAAAAGCCGCATTGAAGTGGGTAAAACACCGTCGACAGCACGATGGGTCGGACAAGGCAGAGTACGCGTATCCGTTATACAAAGTCCATGTCCATACCATTAGCCGCAGCTAACTTAAATCCCAACCAGACATGATCCCATGGCATACCAATACCCCTAAATATTCAAACCAAAAAAGGACATGATCTATGATGCCGCAAATCACAAACGAGCGCGCAAGACGACATGCTACACATGTTCTATATCTCGATAGCAGATTCCGAACAGAACTCCCATGTATATGTAGAGACAATTATCGTCGGACAAATCGTGAATCGACGAAGAACGTGTCGAGGGTATCGTAGAAGAATTGTTTTAAGATGACGTTCAGACGATGAGAAGCTTCTCCACGTTCTCGCCTGCGGTCCGCTCGCTCATGCGGTTCCACGCCGTGTACGCAAGAACGCCACAGGCAGCCCACATCACAGGCACGGCGGCTTCAGCGCCAGCTGTAAGGACTGTCAGTAGGTTTCCTTCCTGTGTATTTGCTTTGTCATGACATGGTTGATGGACAGTGCGTAAGTGGAGCTTGAGTGGGTGAATGAATAACGTACTTGGTCGCTCGGCCTGTGCGGCCATCTCCATGACGCGGGCTGTGCTACTTGTTGAGCTGGAGGAGTTGGCGCGGATGCTGGCGGTTGCGACGCGCTTGCCGGCGAAGGCTGCAGTGAGTGGAACACGGGTGGCAACGCGGGAGAACATGTTGATTCAAGTGGTGTTCTTGTGAGGTTTGGTGAATATGTCGGTGTGCTATCGACTCGAAATGAAACGTGGAGCTTTTGTAACGACTGTTGATAGTTGTCGTATAGATCCTCTTGAATGGAAGTACCAAGCGAAATGTGTTGTTTGAGTGAATGTGGGGAAGAAAAGAGGACACAGACACGGATGCTGTTTATATAAAGAAAGTGGGCCCACGGAAAGGTGTTGTTGTGGGTCGCATGTAAGGCGAAAAGGGAAAAAGAAGAAAGGAGGCGACGCCAGCAGAAAATTTAGGGGCGGTGAGCGATCCGTGCAGGGATGGGCTTAGTCGCGATAGGCTTGGCGAGGTACATCAAGTGGGTCGAGGTCGGAAATAGCAAATCTGGAGTCTGGGGTAACGTGTCAATAGGGCCATCGTCGTCGATGGAGTGAAGACCCTTCCGCTGCGCTTTTTTGGGGCTATCGTAACAATGCGTGAAGGGGCGCATTGTGTGTATTGCGACTTGGAATGACCGGCAATGAGGCTCTCCGAGATCCGTCCGGCTGTACTTCGCATAGAGCCGCAAAGACCCTACTTGCGAGATCGACACATTTGCGGCGCATCCCCGGCCTTCTAGACTAATCTACCGAGAATTAACCTATTCTCGCCACCCCAGCCTCAACAACATCAACGGGTTCGCTTCAATGCATATGGACCACATCCGCTTCCTCATCGTGCATGATGTTCAATACTGCAAAATCTTGATTGTTGTTTGAGCAGTACTTAAGCAAAAGCTATCGTGAAGATATTGTTGTGATAGTACGTCGATACTGACACGATGGGAGACATTGTATACCTCTGCATATAGTGTTCTTCACAGGTCGTCAGATGACATTCTTTCTATCATCCATATTACTTCGCGAGATGTTATCGTCCAGACTTGTCCCACTATCCACATCGAATCATCGAATACCTGTGTTGACACAATACCAATCGTGGCTGCACAAATCTCCACAGAAAACGGCACATATCCTCGACCGTCTTGAACTCCTTTGATACCTCTCAAACACCGCTACCGCATCGGCCCATATTTCCGCCCAGTCACCCATACAACGCAAATGAGCAACACAGCTCGTCACGCAATTTGCTCATCACGTCCAACAGCTGTCTCGCCACCGAGCCTTCACTCTATTCTGGTCGAGATTATCCAGCTTGGCAAACGCCAATACGCAATCGTCGGATTTTGCGGATGTTGGTGGTTTGGCATACGACGCCGTTGGTGTTGGGGTGGAAGAATGCGAGGTAACCGCAAGAGTTCCGCTGCCACACCGCCTCTTCGCTCCTTCGTATTTGGCGCTCAACACAACAATTTGAGCCCCAGTGTCTACTCCACCATCACAATTCGGTATGGAAGTCCTCAGGTCTCTCTACCCAGCCTTTCTGCCTGATGATGGACGCCACGTTTCTTCCCATCATACAGCTCATCTCGAGGGACGCAACGATTTCCTCCGCATCTCGCAGCCAGAACAACTTCCTGGCTATCTCAACTTTTCCAGAAACCTCTCTATCCTTCTCATACTCAAGAAATACTTTAGTCCACTCTAGCCGATGTACATAGCTGAACCCAACTTCTGTAGCACTCTGAACCTCCCCTCAAGTCCTTCCAATCGAACCGCTATTCTCCTGAGTTGTTATCGGATATCGAGTCAAGATTCGATGAAGATTCTAATTGCCAATATTGTTCTGACATGTCTGTTATGTATTTGTCGGCCCAATTAGTCCACAATTCTGTGCGCATACCTCGCTCTGTCCACCAATAGCCTACCGGCCACTGTGAGAGTTCGAACAGGTTTTGATCCGGGGGATCCAAGGCTTCCGATGATTACATGGAGGTCCAGAGAACTCGGCGGTCTAGAAAATCTCCATCGAAACCCGGGAGATTGTTTGTTGGTTTATCCTCGTCGTCCGCGAAAAAGTAAAAAGCGCCGGTCTCAAGACTCGCCTTGTTCGGTTTCTCTGGCAATGCAACTGGAGCTATGTGTCCGCCACCTTTGCGCTATTCTCAAACATGGTAAATGAGAGACACTTTTCCGGAGAAGAAATCTCGCGAATGTGGTAGGCCGCTGATGCACCGCTCAATCCAGCACCCACAATGGCGATTTACAGTCTCTTGTCGGATACATAGTGACCACCTGCTTGACGGTCGTGGAGAGCGAGAGCACACCAAAAAAAAGGCTGCGAGTGCCATGATCGAAGTGCAGAAGCAGGAAAAAGATTGTTAACGACAGAGTGTCTATACGTTCATATCTGTGCACGGTCCTCGCACATGGCATGACCATGATGTAAGCGCAACTGGTGGTCGCCCAAAGGCAAGGGAAACTACCGTGCATGACAACACCGTGAGCCTGACTGGGAGTAAAGAAATGCAACTACATTGCGCATGTATGCCTCGCGCTTCGGCGTCCGATTTTTGATGTTATAAGTGACACGTAAACGGCAAGGCACTTACAACTGTCGCAACACAGCCGACCGTAACGATAACAGATACCGCCCTTCCAAACCAAAGGTATCGGGAAGCCAAAATGAAACTGGTTTTATGAGGCAGTATTCGACTCCCCAATCGCTGTCTTCTGCATCTTTTCAACAACCTCCTCATCTTGCAGCTTAAGGCTCAACCTCTCCAACCGTTCTTGCAACGCCTTCTCCGTCTCCCTAAACCTCTTCTCAAATGCCTCATCGTCTTCTCCACCAAACCCTCCCGCAGTGGGCGTCTTGTCCCCTTCCCCACTCCCTTCCGCCAGCACATTTTCTTCAGCACCGGCGGTTGCCTCCTTGCGCTCCTTCATGGCCGCAATCCTCCTCTTCTTTACCTCCTCTGTCCTCCTCATACAAATCTCCAACCTCTTTAAACTACTCTTTGGCCACCATTTCCGTAAGTTGTCCCCTTTGGGTATAGTTTTTGCATCGTCAGGCAAGCGTACCCAGTCCAGTTTGCTCTCCACGAAGATGTGCATATCCGGTTCCATCAAGCTAGGCAAGTCCAGAGTTCCCACCCTCAAGTCAACAACCGCTTCACCCAGCGCACTACTAGCCCAAAGCTGAATGTGACATTCTGGACACTCTGCATGGCGGTCGATTCTCCCTGATTTTGCTTCCCGCGTGACGAACAGTGGAGTTGTACCAGAGATGACCTGGATGTTATACAACTCGATATTCAAGTTGACACTGAACGCGCTTCCGGTCTGTTTTTGACAGTTAATGCAGTGGCAGGCGTAGCAGTAGAGGGGAGACGTAAGCAGGCGGTAGCGGATAGTGTTGCAGACACAACTGCCTGTCACAGCGGGAAAGGGTTTTGGTGCGGACATTCTGGTGCTCGGTGTACGGGGATGGTCGGTTCCAGTGGGTATGATTAGTTACGAGGCGGAATGTCGCGTGGTAGCGGCTGAAAACCGAGGCAATGTCGTAGTGGGGCTACCACGCTAGTGCGTCTTAGCGCAGATCTTTCGCGTCTACAGCGGAAAGGCATTGCGACTCCACAACCATATCAGACGTATACAGCTTTTATGACACGAAACGCCATCGTTCTGATTGGATTCTTCGACGGTCATACAATTCTTCCATCAATATGGATTCTGGCAGCGTCTCAGCAAGCTGGACGGCCCTGGCCGAAACTAAGGCTTCACAGCAACGCAATCTTCGATGATGGCTCTATCGTCGGCGATGAAGTCTCGATCCGCCACATAGTCATAGTTCCATCTACATCAGACTCATCGTTCTGTTACTTCTACCCTTATGTTACCGACCTGTAGAGAACGAACCGCTCCACCTTCCGAGAGACCCAGACCGTACCAGACTCCCAGACAAGGGCTGTTGTCAGCCCACGATGCTTTATCATCTATCGAATCTGATCGATTGCCGCCAGATGCGCCATCATGATAAACGATATCATTTTCGCTCTACACCTATCTGACGCAGGTTTGCGAGTCGTCATCGCGGGGGCAGGAATGGAAGGTACTTCAGCAGCGTTCCACCTCCACAGCCATTGACTCTCAAAATCTTCGCCCATGTTCACAGTGGCAGGTAGCAGTAGGAGTTAGAGGCGCTTACTCTTCTGCGTCGCACGAATGCGAACGCATTGACGATCGGGAAAAGAACCTTGTTTGGTCAAAAACCCAGCTCGGCCTTCGTTCCACATCGGCAGCGCGCTCCTAGGTGTAGAAGCTCTGCAGATCCTGAAACCTTCCATATAGAATTCGAAGTTCAAGAGCCACGGTCTCCGTCGCTCGTATAAACTACTCCGTACTTCTGGATGACGCAAACATTTATCTTGTCGAACTCACATTATACCGCTTTGTTGATAGTCTCGAACAGATCTTATTGTCACAGTGAACATCCACGACTACTGTGATTGTATCCATGGCTGCGAACTTCGATACCCTACATACCCTTCTTTGGGCACAACTGAACCATATCATATCTCCATCCCAGGCCACGACATGACGCAATTCAAGACCCTCCTCTCACTATCCGAGGTCGCACCAAAGATGTGGTACGACTCGCAAACAGGTGGCTAGTTCGGGATATGACGCGACTGGCTCATCGATACAACGGGCCGATGGCTGCATAACATTGACTGGCGCAAACAGGAAGCCCGTATCAATTCGTTCCCCAACTTCACAACCACGGTGAAGGATGCTAATCACGGAGCCTTGGATGCACACTTCATTGGTCTGTTCTGTGCGAAGCGAGATGCCGTTCCTGTAACCTTCGTGCATGGTTGGCCTGGCGTGGTCATTGAGTTCATGCCTATGCTTGTGCTGATGCACGACAAGTATACACCAGAGACGATGCCGTACCATTTTGTTGTTCCGTCGTTGCCTGGGTACAGGTTTTCGGTAAAATAGGAGGCGAGAGGGAGTCCATGATGGAGGCTGCTGTGCAGGTTTTGAAACAGCTCATGGTGAACCTTCGGATTGGCAAGGGCTATGTAGCGCAAGGAGATGATATCGGGTCTATGCTCTCGCTGATACTCCTGAAAGAGTCGGAAAAGTGTAAAGCAATCCAAGATATGGCGGCGGTTTTCTGAAATGCCAAGTCGTGCGCTTTCATGTCCATTGCTGACCATTGGTACTTAACGTCCTTACACTGCGACACTTCAAGGGATATTTCAATCAATTGACATCTGAAGATGTCTGGCATTTGGAACGGATGCAAGCTTGGGGAGCCACGTGCGATGCCTATGCTCTAGAACATGATACTTGGCCTTCCCATCGAACTCGCAGTCTCTTTCAGCACCTTGGCACTACCCACATGGTACGTAAAGCTTTCACTTTGCTGAATCTAGAAAATTCGTACCCAGAACTGACTGCTGGACCACAGCATCGGAGAGAAACTCCTCGAGTTGTTAACTGAACAAACGCTGCTAGACGAACTGCTAGCCAATGTGAGCTTTTACTGGTTTACATCGTCATTCGCGCAACCGTGGCTCTATACCGGAGGATCGCAAGTTTTAACACTATAGAAACGAGTAAACGGAAGCCGATTGGTTATTGTGATTTCGCTGGTGAGACGCTGATGCTGCCAAGAGCTTGGGGATATGCAGCTTTCCCCAACCTTGTGCACTACACGACACATTGCACGGTATGATTTGCGCTACTCTTCTTCTCTTTTTCACAGTAGAGCAAAAGGCTGACTAAGACACTTTGTTCAAAGGGCAGACACTTTGCTGCGTAGAATTAGCCTCCGGCTATTTTAGATGACGTGGAAGCATTCATGAGCAAGATACGTAGGTCTATGGAATAGCCAAAGCCCCCTCAAAACACATGAGGTGCACTTTTCGTACACCTTCGCCCCTCAGTACTCCACCAGCCATCATGACCGTGACCTTGGTCTTGCAAGTCCCAGTCAACCCTCTCATGCAGTATGGCCAGCAACTCGTCTTTTCACTTCCCGCTGGACATACGAGGTAATGACGCCTATCGAACCCAAACTCATCATTTGACGTCCCAAAACGAACCTTCGTTTCTGGCTGAGGATACCCGTTATTACCTGCGTCTCACACTAGTTGTATCGAGGCATTATGACACAAGACACATTCGACACATAGTCGCTCCCAAGGTATTTTGGGTGTCACGTCACAATTCTTGTTGATCAGCAAGTCTTCGACCTAAAGGAAAGAGAAGCAACAAACTTGAGCATTTGCCAGGTACACATACAAGATAGTTCGTTACATACTATACAATCCCCCATCCCTACGCAGTGGCGCTCCTGAACGGGTTACTCGGTAAGAACTTGGCTATACCACTCTTCGGCGCGGGATCTTCTACAATCGGGCTAGGCAAACTTCCATAAGCATTCGCGTCTGCATCCTGTTCACCAAAATACTCCCCATCAGTCAGCTTCAAACTTTCCATAACCCTCCTAACCTCGTTCCCCTTCTCGATCTCAAACTCCTCCGCACTCAACAACAGCGTCTCCCCCCTCGCCTTGTGTATCTCCAACGGCTCGTGTTCAATAGCTTCGGGCCACTGACCAGCGGCGTAGAGTGCATCTTGCATATCGGCCCAACGAACAGAAACACCCTCGAGGGAATATGGCTTGACGGAAGATGTCTTCAGCGCTTGCGGTAGGACGGAACGCGCAATGTAGTGGTCGCGGGATTCAGCTTGGGCTTTCGCTTCAAATGCTTGTTCGAGGATGGAAATTTTGCTGCGGTGACCGGCTAAGATTTCTCTGTCAATGTCGAGGTCTGCCTTGGAGCGCGTGGGATCTGGGTTCTCTAGCGCCTCCTGGAGAACACGAGCTTGATCTCTTAGTTCATCGAGTTTGCCCTGAGCACCAAGTTCGTTGGCGGGTGCGGCCCGGCGTGCGAGGTCCTCTTGTAGGTTTTTGAACTGCTCTGCTTTGCGGAGGGCGTATTGCAGTTTCCGGAGGCGGGTTTCGAGACTCTCCTTGGCGACTTTCAGGCTCTTCTGGTCTGCTTCGTTTTGGTTGTGTTTCATCTTTAGCTTGAGATCCATGGAGCGTATTTGGCCTTGGAGCCACTTGACGTTATCCGTAGGCTTTGCCTTGGCCAGTCCTGCATTCGCTAGGGCGTCGATCTGCTCCCATCGCTTGTCTAGGAACGTCGTTGCCTTCTTCTGCTGCTCTTGATGCTCTTCCGTTGTCTTGGCACCGTGTGCCTCTTGTATGCGCAGGACCTCTGCCAAGTCGGCGCTGGTGTTGGCGCGCTGGTCCATGATCTTCTTGATTCGAGTCTTGCGGTCCATTCGGATCCACTCTGGGTTCGTCTTATCCCAGGCAGTCTCGTGCAGTCTTCGAAACTCGCGTAGCTTGCGGAAAGCATTGTGGCCTTGACTTGGGGTGGGGAAGGTGAGGACGCAGTGCGGTACCCATTCATCGGGACGTAGGACGGGCGGCTTGGAATGCTTGCCGATGAAGGGAAGTTGTTCAAGATGGTGGTTCTACAGACGTCAGTATTGAATGATCGCGAATAACATGTATTCCGTACATCTAGAAGTTCCTGCAGCGAGTATATGATTTGATTCGATTTGGTGTTGCGAAAGATATAGATGATCTCGCCATGTTTGGCAGTGCCTTCTGGGTCTACAACATCCCGAAGGGTGTAGGGCTTGATCGGCGCTACCACATGCTGACCAGTCGCTTGCCTTCTCGCCTTCTCGTTGACCACAGTTTGTAGCCGGAGGTGTTTGGGGTTCGATTGGCGCTCGACATAGGCGGCGATACGCTTTTGCATATGCTCAACATGCTGCGGAGTGATGCGTCTAGCGGTGTTGGCGAAAGTGACGGGCTTTAGTGGCGGCTTATACCGGAGCCGGGCAAGTGATCGAGGCATGGCCGCGGGGTTGCTGGTGATGCCAATTGCCGGTCGACGATGTTGGTGGTGGATGCAAAGAATCCAAGATTCAGTCGCGCACGGGCCTCTGACCGCGGAAGCCAGCAGCACCTCCGCTTGCTCCAATACGACAGCTCTCCGGCGCGCATTCACTCGTAGCAAGCTTCTACTATGAGCTGTTCCATTGCGATTACTCAGGCGCTAGACGAATCGTGCCAGGATGCTTCGATGAAGTCTTGTTCAATTCCATCCTGCTCCTGCCACTGTCTACCAACCGGACCAACTACGTAACATGGCTGGAGAGCCATCCCAGGCAGCCGAGCAGCCCAAGTCTCCGCCACGTGAGCGACCGTGGCTGCTGCCATATGTATGTTGTGCAGACAGCATATTAGCTGTAGTCGCTGACAATCTAGCTAGAATCGCAAGCTTAGACACCTCCAAGGCATCACGATCCGGAATCTCACACTTACCACGACTCCCCCAAAGTCGCGCGGACGGACCATTGATGATGAAGCGATACCGAGTACACTCAAGTCGCCCACTAAGGCCTTCGCTTTGAGAGAGAGCAGGGGTCTGGCGCATTCGCGATCTTCGAGCGATCTCACCTCTCCCGAAGATAGCGTCCGGCGCAGCAGTGGTGGTTTGCGCGAACCTACCACTCCAATCAGACCCGGATATGGCAAAGGACTGCGAAGACGCTCGACCATGGAGTGGACAAACGCGAGCCCGCTGACTCGCCAGAAGAAGCTGGAAGATATTACCGCAGGGCGCATGGCGGATACCTTCTTCAGCTTGCATGCACAGGATCAGGAAGAGCCGGTATACATCTCCGAGGTCGCGGAGAAGGCCATGAACCCAAACTTCAAGTTCTTCGATCTCGGCCCGTGTGGCCCTGGTGTCACGCGATTGGACAAGCTGACTGTGAGGGTGTGGGCTAAGAGCGAGACGATGCAGGAATGGCAGTATCTCATCGACTACACAGTACAGTTCAGGTCGTTACAGTTCATCGGCAGGACGCTCGGAGGTTTCAGACATCCACTGCCGCAGAACTGCATACTGTTCCATATGACGGATGGCATCTACACCAGCTTTACGGATCTGCCGGTACAGGAACGAATGCGCCCCGAGGTTCTCGCACCACCAAAGGAGAACCCAGACGGCAAAGCTCTCAGCTCCTCGTCGTACGACGCACTCATGCGACTATCAACTCTAGATGACTGCATACAGGATGCGCTGACTACACGGGACCGGATTGCCGACGAGATCGAGGGCATACTCGCAGCGAACAAGGAAGACATATGCACGGTTGAGTCGGTCGCCGAGACAGAAGACAGTCTGCGGACCGTCGAGGCTGCCGTGACTGCGGAAAAGCGACGAGTGGTAGCAGCACGCAGGAAGCGTGACGAACTACAAGCCAACATCGCATACCGACGAGAGAAGATGCAAGCCGGTCGCGACCAGCAAGCAGATGCCTCCTCAAGATTATCCCTCGAGCGTACCAAGGCCAATGAAACCAAAGCCCTCATAGAAAAAGCCAGCGAGGACATAACCGGCCAACGCCGTCGAGTCAGTGAAGATGTCCTCAGAATCTTCCCCATCGAACCCATTCCAGGAAAACCCCTCGCTTTCACAATCCGCGGTCTCCTCCTACCTAACTCCGTTTTCGATGAAGTAAAAGAAGACATGACATCGGCAGCTCTCGGCTACGTAGCGCAGGTTGTGCACTCCCTATCCCCTTACCTTTCCGTCATCCTACCCTATCCAATCTCACCCCATGGCTCCACATCGACAATTGACGATCCACTTGCCGTCACGCAGAGCGGTCAAAATGCCCAACGCACGTATCCGCTATATATGAAGAATGTTGTGAGATATCGCTTCGAGTACGGCGTTTTTCTCCTCAACAAGAATATTGAGATTCTTTCTAATTCTCTGGGGCTACGGCCTGTGGATATTAGGCATACCTTGCCGAACTTGAAGTACCTGCTTTATGTTGCTACCGCTGGGAAAGGCGAGCTGCCAGCAAGAAAAGCGGGTGGCATCAAAGGCTTGTTAAGGAAGGATGGTGCCATGTCTCGAAAAGGGAGCATGGATAGCACCATCACCATGAGCAGTGTTGGCACACCCACGACCGAGTTGAAGAAGAGTCTGGAGATTGCGGGGAAGAGACTGGATCAGGGAAAAACGAACGGTGCGCCTACTCAAGCACAAACAAATGCAGGGAGCAGGCTAAGACCTGCTGCATAACCCCTAACTATACATAGACCACGTACGGGATGCGAGAGGTCTGAATGTCTTTTCGGGTGGATGTAGTTATGTATGTAGACCTGATACCAGTACTTTGTAACATAGCTTCTAAGACACCATTGTTTTTCTGCAGCCTGTACACTACACACTTACGTCGAGGCATCGGGTCTAACTGTATTGGTAGGCGAATGCAGACACGGAGTCGCAACACCGATGATTGTTCACAAAGCATCCGAGATACCATTGCTTTTCGTCTGTTTAGCTGTTTGATTACCCCGATCTTCACTTGCTTTTCTCATGTGCCTGTGGCGTCTGCGAAACCGCGCCGAGCCGAAGCCCCAGGCCCCTTCAGGGTCCGAAAAAGCATGTGCGTCGTGACTTGACCGTCGTTCACGTCGGCTTCGGCCCTTCTCCAGGTTCCAAAGGGTAGTCTAAGCGAGTACGTCTGCTGACATAAGTCTTACCCCTTGCCCTGAATCTTCGAATTACATGGCAGATCGACGGGCTAACCCCTGCAGCGTCAGAACGCCAAGAGGTCCACTGCACGCTGGTCGGAAATTGCTTGGTACTGACGAGCTGGCTGCAGCGAGCCTCGGGAAAGCTGGAAAGGAGTCGTCCGCTTTTCACATCACCTCCGAGCTGGCCGCAACTTTTCTTGGGGCTGACTTCCGTTTGGGCTCTCTTGCGTTGGACGTTCTTCTTGTACACCGAGGCCAACTTTAGACCAGGACCCTCGTGCTCTGAGAGTCCATCTGCGGAACACCTGCGGATCAGTGTCTTCTCCTCCCGCACCTGGGCACCAACTCCTCGCTCACGATGACGGAACCGTTTCCTCCACTCAACGGCGCACTGCCACAAAACACGGGAGCCAACGGCGCAACCAGGCGGCGAAGAAAGTCTAGTGTGCTGGGCTCCGATGTACCTGGCGATGTTGATGTACCGTCTTTCGCGACAAATCGAACGAGCACCCCGCCGCTGAACAGTCCTACGAGCATGGATTCGGTACGTCGACTTGCCTTTTTTGCCCCGAAAGCCTTACAGACGATGAGCAACAACTACGAGAAGGCAAAGAAAAACTGCTAACGACCACGTGTAGAAATCAGATAAATCCATCCGCCGCTCCAAACGAAAAACAACACGCCGCTACCTCTCCAAAGCCAAACGTCTCTGCATCCGTCATACGTGGCTCCTCCCCCTCATCCTCGGCTTGATTATCATATCCCTCTACGCCATCTATCCCTACGAATCGAACCCGCTGTCCGCCTGCCTCTTCCTCTCTTACCCCCTCGCACGCGACGATCCCCTCATTCCCGAACATGTCCGCGCAGACCCAAACGGGCCGGTGCACTATGGCAAAGGTGGCCGGGATTTCGCTTTCGTTGGTTTCTACATTATCGTGTTGAGCTTTACACGCGAGTTCTGCATGCAGAGATTGATCCGCCCGATTGCGATTAAACTGGGTATTAGGAACCGCGACAAACAATCCCGATTCATGGAACAAGCCTACACAGCGCTCTACTTCGCTCTCTACGGGCCCTTTGGTATCTGGATAATGTCGCGCACACCCGTGTGGTATTTCAACCCTATTGGCATGTACGAGGGTTTCCCCCACCGGACTCACGAAGCCGTTGTCAAGGCATACTACTTGTTGCAAGCGAGTTACTGGGCCCAGCAAGCGATTGTATTGCTACTGATGTTGGAGAAGCCGAGGAAGGATTTCAAAGAGTTGGTTGCGCATCATGTTATTACCGTGTCTCTGATTTGGTTGAGTTATCGATTTCATTTTACGTACATGGGGATTGCGGTCTACATTACACATGATGTTTCGGATTTCTTCTTGGCTGTAAGTTCTATCCCCATCTCTCCCAAGACGGAAAGTTTGAGAAGGAAGCGTTTTGCTAACGGGACTGTGACACCAGACGTCCAAATGTCTAAACTACATCGACTCTCCCATCGTTGGCCCCTACTTCTTCGTCTTCATGTGTGTCTGGGGCTACACGCGTCACTACATCAACCTCAAAATCATCTACTCCATCTTGACTACCTTCAAGACCGTCGGGCCGTTTGAACTCAACTGGGAGACGCAACAGTACAAGTGCTGGATCTCGCAATACATTACTTTTGCGCTGTTGGCAAGTCTGCAGGCAGTGAATCTGTTTTGGTGGTTCTTCATCTGCAGGATTGCGTATCGGTTCGTGGTGTACAAGGATGCAGATGATGACCGGAGTGAATACGCGCCGACAGATGAGGAGGTTGAGGAGAAGGAGAAATTTATCAAAGAGGGGGCTGAGGCGGAGGGTGAGTTTGAGGGGTTGGAGAAGGAGTTGGAAAAGGTGGAAGATGCGCCAACAACCCTGGTGACTGTGAATGGGTCGGGGGTGCAGACGAGTGGTGCTGATAGCATTGGGTCGAGAGTGAAGCAACGGAAGGGTGGAAAGCAATGAGAGAATGGCCGGAAGGAAGATAACCAAGGGAAGAAAAGGGATGTATCGGCATAGGAAAAAGGGTTTAGAGTTGGGACTGCGACTGTTGAGCGCTGAACAGTTGACCTAACTCACCATGGTTTGAATGAGGGTTGGAATTGGAAGCGTCTTTGTATGTCGGTATGCTGTTCTCATGCATATGCTGTGGAATAATGGCTGATGAGCATTTCAGATAATAATGCACTGTACAATCATGATCTTTGGGAATGGGGTCTGAGAGATGCTACGTACGCGCTTTTCGTGCGCGCCTTCGCACATGTCTGTGCTTCAATCCGGTCGATGATTTTCACGGTTGGTTGTACGAAGACCCTGGGTCGCTAACCCATATACCGCACGCTTCGAACGCCTCTACCATCCGGCCACGAACCATCGATGATCGTGTCGCTATCGCATGGAGATCAGCGGTGGGGCTAGCGCATAATGCTACTTGTTGACGTTGAACAGGTGTGGATGGCTATTAGTGTGAGATGATCTGCGATGCCTAGACGCTTTCCGAGTGCGAGTACGAAGTGCGAATCCGAGTGCATACGTAGCACTAGGTACATGGCTGCTAGTGGCCTTAGTTGACCTACGTTTCAGTTCCAATCCAGCTTTAAATATAAGGTCCATACATCTGACGGGGCTTTTCCACAGACTCAGCGGCATATCGCTCCAAGACACTATGGCCGGCGCATTGCAAGCTATTGTCGCGGAAGTTCGTGCTTCCAACTTGCTTTCATCTCGAGGAATTGCACTTGTTCTAGGCGGTTTGATTGTTTTCCAGGTCCTCAAAAGCGTCGTCTACATCATCTACAACCTTTACTTTCATCCGCTCAGCAAATACCCCGGACCGAAACTATGGACGGCCTTCGAAGTCGCACGGACGATCGGTCGCATGCGGGGAGACTTCGACTTGCAAATCGTTGAGGCACACCGCAAGCACGGCGAAGTCGTAAGGATTGGTGTGGACGAGCTGTCTTTCATCAATCCAAGCGCCTGGAAGGACATTTATGGACATGGCCACGCGGAGGTAAGTCCAGACCGTACGAAATGCATGTGAGACATACACTGACTTCGTATCCCTCTGCAGCTGCGTAAGTACTTCCCGCCTGACACTGTCAATACGAACCAGATCATCGCGGCAAACTCGAGTGATCACTTCCGTATGCGTCGAGCTATGCTACCAGCCTTTTCGGAAAAAGCGCTCGCACAGCAAGAGCGATTGATTCGCGTCTATATTGACCTACTTATGCAACGTCTCTCAGAGTGCGCGCAATCCAGCAAACCAGCGGACCTGACACGCTGGTACAATCTCACAACTTTTGATCTGATCGCAGATCTCTGTTTTGGGAAGTCGCTGGATGGCTTGGAGACGGGAAAGTCGAACGCTTGGATTGAGAAGATCGATAAGATGTTGCGACTCATGCCAGTGTTGATGCTGGTCACAAGCTTCCCGTTCCTGATGACGCTATTCAATCTAGTCTTGGGCAAGAAGATGAAGCAGTCGCGTAAAGAACATCAAGACTATGCTGCGTCGCTCGCAATGAGCCGAATCCAAGGAAAGGAGCAAGCCGATCGTGGAGATTTTATGGACTTCATTCTACGCTCACGTGGCGAGGACAATCAGTTGACAGACGGGGAGCTCGTACACAACGCCGATCTTCTTATGGTCGCGGGCTCTGAGACCACGGCAACAATACTTCTCGGCGTCACATACTACCTATTGAAGAATCCAGACGCCTACAAAAGAGTAATCGAGGAGGTACGAGGTGCCTTCAAGCGTGCAGAAGACATCAACTTCAGGGATGTCAATGCGCGCTTGCCGTACATGTTGGCTTGCCTGAATGAGGCGATGCGCATCTTCCCGTCTATTCCTTTAGCATTGTTGAGGATAACGAACGATGGTCCGCCAACACCCGTGGCTGGTCACTCAATACCTCCCAAGGTAAGCTATCGTAGCAATAGCTCTAGTAAGCAGCTTTACTAATAGATCCAGGCCCGCGTTGGTGTGCACCACCTTGCCGCGTATCACTCGCCACTCAACTTCCACGACCCACAATCGTTCCGCCCGGAACGCTGGCTACCAGAGGAATTCAATGACCCATCGTCGCCTTTTCATAACGACCGACGCGATGTCCATAAGCCCTTCTCATATGGTCGGCGTGATTGCATCGGTCGCAATCTTGCATTCCTTGAGATGCGTCTGATTGTTGCTCTGCTGTTGTGGAATTTCGATTTGTCACTTGACGAAGGCATGGAGCAGTGGCATGTGCAGAAGATCTTTAGTCTATGGCAAAAGCCGCCTCTGATGATGCATGTCCAGCAGAGAGCGCAGAAGTAGGCACCGATGCTTTTCGTTATCTTGTCAACCGCAGACTTGTCAACAATCAATCCAGATCAATCTCATCAATCAAGCTGTGACAATTTGTACTGCAAGTCAAGCCAATCCAGCATATCGTAAAATAGCAGTCGATTAAGCTAAAAATTAATAGATTAATTAATAGGATTATGTAAGCATAGGGTGGTAGTAGTATAAGGTCACATGAATGAGTGTATTCTTCTGTGTATGTACAAATGTGTGATCTGAACTCTTAAGTAGTCGGACGCATTAGTCATGCCTGCAGAGCAGTCATGTAATCACAGTCCGCAACAAGCAAGTCAAGCAATCTTGAGGTCGTCGATTGACTTGCTTGTTAGCGACGTCGTCGTCGCTTAATTGTTGCTTGATTGTTAGTGTTTTTAGGCAGCTTAATTGCGACTTAATTAGTAGATTAATTAGATTGGACGCTAAAGTGTCACGAGATGCTACGAGCACGTGTTTAAGAGCTTACTAGAAGCGTTAGTTGTGGCTACGTACGATATCTGGTGTAATACAAGACGTTGCGTAAGGAAACAGAATCAGCATGTACAGGCGGTGAGAAGTTATCGATGGGGGCCGTGCGCATGGCGCTAGGCCCGGCCGGCCAATCAGCAGAATCCTGGTGCTTGGCGGAGCACTCGGATTCTGTAGCGCGTTCAGTGTCAAGGGAACCACGGTGGTTACCGTGACAGTACCCCCCTCTTATTCTCGAGCTCCTGCGAGCGTCGATCGTGACGATAAAGGTTCAGGGATATCAGGAAATCTTTCGTGGAAAGCAGCCACAGCTGCGTTATCCTTCAGGTTCAAGGCGGGTTCCCAGGTCAACTCATTGTAACCAGTCCATTTTACATAGTACTCGTGTCTCTTTCTACGCTTGTTAAAGCGGAGACCTTCGACGCTATCCACAAAGTATTCTTCTTCGTTATCTACAACGACAGGTTCGGGTGGCGGTGCATTCTGGCCAGGTATGTGATCGTCTTCTTTGGCTGCTAGACGAAGGAGGGATACATGAAATACAGGGTGTATCTTCATAGATTCAGGTAGATGGAGGCGGTACGCATGGGAGGAGACCTTCTTGGTTATTCGGTAGGGTCCCAGGTTCTTCCAGTCGAGCTTCTTTGATGGTCGTTGTGTTCGGATGTTACGCGCATCTAGCCATACCTCGTCGCCAGCTTCGTAAGCTGGTGCAGGTAGGCGTTTACGGTTCGCGTATTCTTGCTGCAGGGCTTGCGCCCATGTCATTTCTTCGCGGATAAACTCAGTGATATCACGCATCTTATCGATCATCACATTCACATCCCGGGCTTGTAGGGCCTGGTAGGCGGGACGTGTCTTGTTCGTGGGCGGTTCAAAACCCATTCGGGGTTCTGGCCGTAGCAGGCCATCATCGGAGATACTCCTGTGGATTCCGAAACGGTGTTGTTAGCTTCGAATTGAGCGATAGGAGCCACTGGACCCAGTCGTCTTGCTGGTAGTTCGTGTACGCGCGTAGGACTTGTTCCATCGCAGCGTTAGCGTTCTCGGTTTGCCCGTCAGTTTCGGGATGATAGCCAGTTGAAAAGCGTGGGTCAATCTTTAGCTGGCTACATAGTTCGTCATGGAAGGCAGAGACGAACTGTCTGCCTCTATCGGAGACAATCGTGTCGGGAAGGCCGTGGTTGCACCAGACGTGGCGAAGAAACATGCGCGCTACGTCGGGTGCTTCCATCTTGCTACATGGTATTAGGTAGCGGTATTTGGACAAACGGTCCACTACCACCATCACGTTCTTGTATCCTTCTGACTCAGGTAGGTCGACCACGAAGTCGACGGAGATATCTGCCCAACGTCGTTCAGGAACGGGCAATGGCTTTAATAACCCGTGGTACTTCTCTCGCGACGCTTTAGAGCGGCGGCAGGTGTGGCAGCAGGATACGTATCGTCGGACGGTCTCGAACAGCCGAGGCCAGTAGTATTCCCGTTGGATAAGTTCGAGTGTCTTTCCTCGGCCTGGGTGGCCGCCAGAGGGAGCATCATGGACTGCACGGAGGATCTTGATTTTTAGTTCGTCGTCGTCAGGAATAACGAGCTTGTTCCGGTAGTATAGACGGCCGTCGCGGTTCTCACAGTCGCTTAGGGTGACGGTCTTTGACCGTCGTCTACCGTCGTGCAGCAGTTGCAGAGTTTCTTGTATAAACGGGTCCTTGGGGTAACCGTTAGGTGCTAACTGGTATCCTTCTTCGATAATCTGTTGGATAGATCTATCGGTCTCTACTAACCCAATCATGGGAGGATTCTGAAAGAGTTCTGGGCGCAGCAACGTTTGCTTGCGAGCTTCTCGGGCTTCCTCTTGTGCAAGCTGGTCTTGCGAACGTCGGGTTAAGGCATCAGGCTTCTCGCCATGCTTGCCTGGTCGGTACGTAATCGTAAACTGGAATCGGGAGAGGTATTCGGACCATCGAGCCTGACGGTGGCTCAGTTGCTTCGTAGTTGCGAAGTACTGTAGGTTCTTGTGATCGCTAAGTACAGCAATTGGGAAGGACGCGCCCTCTAGCTCAGGTCTCCACTGTTCAAAGCAACGGACGATAGCGAGTAGTTCCTTATCGTAGATTTCGTAGTTGTTTTCCGCAGGGTTCATCCTCTTCGAGTAGTAGGCTACAGGGCGAAGCGTACCGTCGGGTTCTGTCTGGGAGAGGACACCTGCCGTGACGTAGTCGGAAGCGTCTGCTTCTACGATGATCGGGAGGTCAGGATCAAAGTGTCGCAGTATCGGTGCAGTAGTGAAGGCGCGTTTTAAGGCATTAAAGGCCTTCTGGCAGTCGTCGTTAAAGAGAAACTTAGCGTCCTTCTTAGTTAATGCTACAAGCGGAGCGGCTAGGTAGGGAGAAGCTATCTATAAACCGTCGATAGAAGTTCGCAAATCCTAGAAAGGCTCTAACGTCCTTGACGTTGTTTGGGTATTCCCAATCCACGATGGCTTGAACCTTCTTCGGGTCCATTCGTATTCCATCTACTCCAACTACGTAGCCAAGGTAAGTGACTTCAGTTTGGTGGAACTCGCACTTGTCTACGTCTAGTTGGAGCCCAGCTTCCTTAAGAGCGTTCAGAACAGATCTAACGTGCTCCTTGTGTTCGTGGAGGGTCTCGCTATAGATCAGGATATCGTCGAGGTAAGCGGTGCAGAATATGTCTAAGAACGGGCGTAGCACGTCGTTCACGAAGTGCTGGAACGTACTTGGCGCGTTGGCTAGTCAAAGGGCATTACGAGATATTCAAATAGCCCATATCGGGTACGGAAGGCTGTCAGCCATTCGTCTCCTTCAGCGATGCGGAGTCGGTTGAAGGCAGCGATAATGTCAAGCTTTGTGTAGTACTTAGCCTTGCTTAGTCGGCTTAGGGTCTCTTGGATCAGCGGGATTGGGTAACGGTTCTTGACGGTAACTGCGTTCAAGGCACGGTAGTCGACGCAGAAGCGTAATCCGCCTCCAGGTTTCTTGACAAAGATAACAGGAGAAGCGACTGGAGAGGAGCTTGCTCGGATAAACCCCTTCGACAGGTGGTCTTCGAGGTACTTGCGCAGTACCTTTAGCTCGTCTTGGGACATGCCGTATAACAGGCCGAACCCGTGTTGCTTGCCTTTTATCAGTTCGATCTTGTGGTCGTATGGTCGTCGTACGGGCAATTTGTCGGAGTTCTCTCGCGAGAAGACGTCTATTAGGTCGTGGTACTCAGGAGGGACTTTCGTGAGTGGATCGGTGTGCTTCTTTACAGCTAGTGCCTTATCAATGTCAGCAATACTAACAGCACAGATTTCGTAGCCTCTTCTACGCGCCAGGCTCATGAATGGGGCCGCGCCTATGCAATAGATATTAAGTTTCGGCTGTGACTTTAACGAGTCGTCCTGGTCGTTGGTTAAAAGAGTGCAGTCAGAGTCGGAGTCGTAGGTGGGTTCGTGTATAGGTTCGTTTAATTGGCGCTTCATCTTAGGTAGCCAATGATCGTGTCGTTGTCGTAGTACGTGTTTGAGTTTCGGGGTTCGGGAGTGAGTTCTATTAGAGCTGTTGTTGCCCCACTGTCCTTGGGGAGTAGGAGCAGAGGTACGGCTAACTCTAAGGCATCGTTCGGTGCATCTTCGGGCAGTAAAGCAGCTTCTCATTAGCATAGTCTAAGTTTACTCGATGCTTGTTCATCCATGGTTGGCCAAGTATTATCTCGTGGCGGCCAGTGTTAGTAACGTAGAGTCGTATAATCTCTACGTGGTTGTCGTATTGTAATCTTAGAGTGACGGTGTGAGACACTTCTCCACCGTCAAGTACGTTCAGTAAATCCAGTGGGATAGATAACGTAGGGCAGCAGGGTTTGACGAAGGTTCAGGTTGCGCGCGAGGTCTCTGTGAATGTATCCAATACCAGTAGCTCCAGTATCAACTAAGGCCTTAAGATTACTTCTAGTGTTGCCTTGTTGGACTGTGCAGGGTATCACGATACAGCGTTTCCATGTGTCGGTTTGGGATTCAGACCAGAGTTCAGCAGAGATTCGGTGTATGCGCGGTCCCGGGGAGCGACTTATCCTCGGGACGAGGCTTTTCCCTTTCGGGACCGGTTGCGAGAGCGTCTCTCTCGAGATCCTGAGGATCGGGAAGATCTTGAGGTATCGGATCCTGCGGAGCGAGTACGGATCCGGTTATTCGTGCTATGCGATCGGATATGCTGAGCAGGTAAGGGGACACTGCAGTTGCTGGATATATGGCCTTTCTGGTTACATTTAAAGCGCGGCCTTCCTTAATTCTCTTCTGGCGTTCAGCCGAGCCAGCGGGTGCGTAGTTCATCACGTCTATATCCATTACGTCAGGGTGTGCTACAGGGAGACGGCGTGGGCGGTCTGGTAGGAAGCGGAGGTTGTTGTCGTAAGTAGATATGAGATTGGCGTAGTCGTTTAGATCGTTAGGCAGGGCTTCTCCAACCATTGCGCGTTGCAATTCGTGGGACAGGGAGTTTCGGAGG